GCACTTGCTCCAGTAAGCTACTACATGTTCTTGGCTGTCTATTTCTTGGGACAAAACAGCGCCGACACTTTTATTGCTCACATGTGTCGAGATTAAATGGTATGTCGAGCTGAGGATACGTCAGGATTGGAGCAGATGTTAAAGCTTCCTTTAAGTTTTTAAATGCATCCTCACATTCTTTTGTTCACAAGAACTTTTGCTTGCTCTCTGTCAGCTTGTGGAGAGGTCTTGCGATGGAAGAAAAGTCCTTCACGAATCTCCTATAGTAGGTGCAAAGCCCTAGGAAGCTTCTCAGCTGATGGACATTTTCAGGACGTTTCCAGGATTTAACCACTGATACCTTTTCAGGATCCATGCGCACACCTTCTGCAGAGATGACATGTCCCAGATGAGTCACTTCCTTTCAGAACAATTTGCATTTTGCGGGACTCAGCTTCAGATTGGCTTCTTTCAGTTTCTGAAGCACCTTTCTAAGATTTTCTAGATGTTCTTCAAAACTCTTTCCGACGATGATGATGTCGTCCAGGTATATCAGACAGGCTTCGTAGGAGAGACCTTTCAAAACAGTCTCCATGAGGCATTCGAATGTTGCCGGCGCATTACACAGTCCAAACGGCATCACCTTGAATTGCCAAAGCCCTTGTCCTATAGTAAATGCCGTCTTTTCTCGGTCATCAGGATGTATTTCTACCTGCCAACACCCACTCTTTAAATCAGGTGTTGAGAACCACTTGCTTCCAGAAAGAGTGTCTAGAATGTCATCAATTCTAGGAAGAGGGTAACTGTCTTTCTTCGTAACCTCATTCAACCGGCGATAGTCAATGCTAAATCTTGTTGAGCCTTCTTTCTTTCTGACAAGGACCTCATTCAACCGGCGATAGTCAATGCTAAATCTTGTTGAGCCTTCTTTCTTTCTGACAAGGACGATGGGGGATGCCCATGGACTTACTGAAGGCTCGATGACATTGCCTTCTTCCATATCTTTTAACAGTGTTCACACTTCTTCCTGTTTAGCAAACATGGAGACGTCTTGGATGTTGCTTGATCTGCATGAGGCATTCGAATGTTGCCGGCGCATTACACAGTCCAAACGGCATCACCTTGAATTGCCAAAGCCCTTGTCCCATAGTAAATGCCGTCTTTTCTCGGTCATCAGGAAGTATTTCTATGTGCCAATACCCACTCTTTAAATCAAGTGTTGAGAACCACTTGCTTCCAGAAAGAGTGTCTAGAATGTCATCAATTCTAGGAAGGGGGTAACTGTTTTTCTTTGTAACCTCATTCAACCGGCGATAGTCAATGCAAAATCTTGTTGAGCCATCTTTCTTTCTGACGAGGACGATGAGAGATGCCCATGGACTTACTGAAGGCTCGATGACATTGCCTTCTTCCATATCTTTTAACAGTGTTCGCACTTCTTCCTGTTTAGCAAACGGTAGACGTCTTGGATGTTGCTTGATCGGGGGATGATTGCCAGTATCGATTCTATGTAATGTCAAACTGGTTCGACCCATGTCAGAAGACGAGTGGGAGAAAACAACTTGAAGATATTTAATGACGCGATCGGCAGCATTCCTCTCTTTATCGTTTAATTGTGCATTCTGCAATAACTTCAGAGATGTAATGCTCTCTGAAGACACAGATTCTAGGATGTTACTCTTTCTTTCAACACTGGTTACTGGAGTACAAGCTGCAACCACTTCACTTTTCTTTACTCTCGTGTTCTCAGTTACATTGGCGACTCTCACAGGGATAACCGTTCTGGATAGGTCGACGATTGTTGAGTCTACCAGTACCCCTTTCGGGCTATTACAGTTATTGGGATATTCTATGATGCAGTAGCGGAAATTTCTATTTTCGGCTATGGATCCAGGAAGTAGAAACTCTGTTTTTGCGGGTATTGTGATATCATCTTAAGCTATGACTTTGGGGATAGATTTAACTCCTTCATTATTAATTCCAAATAGGGCTATGTCCTCAGATGCAGAATGCAATTTGTTATTTTTAAAGTCCAAGGAAAAATTGTATTTCCTTAGAAAGTCCAATCCGAGTATGCAAGAATCAGTGATCTCTGCTACATATGCTGTGTGATAGTAAGCGGCACTTCCAAACGTGATGTTAAAGTTACTTTTCTGTCGATGTCGATCTTCTCACCGGACAGTCTGGAGGGTAACGCAAGGCAGCGTCCAGATAAGTTTGCTTCCCAGTTGTTAAGCCAAATCTTTTCGGATGATGGTAACGTTGGCTGCTGTATGGTATTGTCATATTACAGGGAACTCCATTAATATGTCCTATTATGAAAAGTTCATTACTGATGCCTCTCATTGCAGAAATCTGAAGCGCTTTAACTTGGGGCTTTTCATTATCTGGCAACCTCTGACCCGTGAGATGGCCACTAATTAGTTTCCCTGCTGCTTGCTAGGAGCGGCTTAACATCTGTACCCTGGGGTGTTCTGCAGTTTTGTCGTATGTGTCCTTCAGTACTGCAGTTCCAGCACTTTACGGTTGGTTTTTTGTCACCAATATTCCGTCTCAAGGTGTTCAGTTGTCTATTTGATCCCCTGGCTCCTGAACTTGAGCAGTTCTGATTGGGTGGCGGTCTCTATGAGTGGCTTGTTGGGCTGCCTCGAATTTCATGGCGTATACTGGAGCACTTTTCAAATTTTTATTATCTGCCATTCGCAGTGCTTTCTGTATTTCAGGGTCCCGGATGCCATCAATGAAGTACTGCAGGGACAGGATTCCCCTTGTTTCTGTTGAGCACTCAGAAAAGGTGTGATGTGACAGCCTTTCTACATCCGTGGCAAGCTCCTGAAGTGGGCTTCTGTTGACAGGATTTTAGTTGAAGCCTGCTGTAGTCTTTTAAACACTTGTTCTCAAAGCGCAGCTCCATTGCACTGGATAGAGCTTCAATGTCTAATCTCTGGTTTTCGGGAAGAGTCTGAAGGATATCCGCTGTGTCTGCTCTAAAAGAAGCGGCGAGATGACAGGCCTTAGCCTGGGGATCCCATCCATTTACTTCCACCACTATAGAAAACTGTGTCTTATACACCTGCCAGGAGGTCTTCCCATCATATGTCGAGAACTTGAGACAGGGACAAGCACGCATGGGTAGAAATTTTAAACCATCTAAAGTGCTTCCTGCTGTCGCTACAAATTTCTTTAAATTATCAACTTCTCTGGAAACTGCAGAAACCCTGTCATCAATCTGTTGTTGGATGACAGAAACTCTTCCTTCTATAAGTTGCTCCACAGCAGAAACCCTTTCTTCTATTTGATCTTTCACTGAAGAAACTCTATAATCAATTTGTTGTTCTACGACCGAAACTCTCTGTTCTACTTGTTGTTTGAGAGAAGAAACGTTTTCTTCAATTTGCTCAACTTTGTTTTCAACTGCGTCTATTCTGCCTTCATAGCCTCAAATTTATTTTCTATTATGCAGGTAATTTCCTTTTTCATCTCTTCCTGTCCTGCTTCAATCTTTTCTTTGACTGCATTCATCTCGTCTTTGACGGAATCTTTGCCCAATTTCATTTCTTCTTTAAGAGATCTAATCTCTTCTTTAACAGAGTCTTTCATGTCTTCTTTAAACGATGCTTGGCCAGCTTCCATCTTTTCCTGGATAGATTTCATCTCTTCTTTCATTTCCTCTTGTCCCGCTTTCATTTCTTCCTTAAACGTGGCAAAAGCTGATATCAACTGCCTTAACTGTTCTTCAGTCGCTGTTGTTATTGGCATTCAAACCCCACTCCTGACACCAAAAAATTGTTGGGTACGTATGGTTTCGTTATGAAATGAATGCACAAGTCCGATGAAAAATGAACAAAATTTATCATCACAACAAAAATGCTTGAATTTCCTCAGATATTCGTGCAGTATTACAATATCTCACAGTTATCTTTTAACCACTCAAACATTCAAGAGAACTTAATTCAAAACAGCTAAAGAAAGCTAATCTGCGAATTCACTACAGTCAAGAAGAGCAGTTTTCTAAACAAACTCTTAAAACAACAACAAACTAACTAAAATCATCGAATTGAGAGGTTTTCCTCCTTTCATGAGATTTTAAATCGCACACGAGAAGTTTCTGGAATTTTCTAGAAAACAAAAAGAGATATTTATTTATTAAATGTTAAAAGCATGTGCTCTTGTATTTTTAACTTTCCGGCGTAGCTTTCCTTTAATATTCGTCATGCACTGCACTGCACGGGGAATAAAACAATTTAATTTATAATTCAACTAACATTAGCTATTTAAATACGAAATCCGTAACAATATCATTATTTCCTTCCTCAAAGACAACTTTAAATTTCAAAATCTTTTTCTTCAAGATTGGCAACAGTCATAAGCTGACGATTTGCCAGGAAAGAAAAAATTAAAAATCTGCAACTGCAAGAATAACAAACCACTGATAGAACTGAGAATTTTCTCTAGGCTTCTTACACAAGCAAAATTTTTTGGAAAATAGCTATAAGCTGAAAATAGTTGTAAGGAAATTTTTCCCTTTTGCATACCTTGTTTTGCCATATGGGAATAGCTATACCTTTTGCAAAATAAGGATATTTGAAGGTCTCCTTTAAATACATGCTAGGTCTTATTTCTTTAAACAATGTCCATCATTAGTTATAAGACTAAAAATGATATTGTTCTGTAGTAGCTGTCAAGGAGTTTATAGAAAGATAAACAGTAACATATGGCATAATAATTAAAAAAGTACTAGAAATTAAGAATATATGAAGGGAACTAATTCATATAATGAAGATAAATTTTCTTCCTCATAAGCATTCATGAATTTTCTTCCTCATAAGTGTTACTACTTGCATACCTTTTTCAGCAATTTTCTGAAGTGATTTAATATTAAATGATTCAGGTTTTATTGTGAATTCTGAAAGCGGAGTAAGGTGACATGTTTAAAAGTATGGTAGCTTATTATAATTTGTGTAAACGTTTCAGTATGAATACAGGCTGAATATATATAATGATATAAAGCTTATATATACCTATATACTTCCTTCAGTGACATAATTTTGTCTGTTGGATATTTTTCAGGTTTCTTTCCTTCAAGAAATGCACTAGCATAAGCTAGTGGCCCTGCATTAACCTGAAAATTTGAGAAATAAAAACACTCTTTAAATTGGATGCAAGTGATAAAACTATTTTACTAAAGAGAAAAAAAAATCTATATATATTGAATACATTACTAAATATAGAATATATATGCACTAGCTCATTACATGAACAAAATGAGATAAAAATATTTTCATACAATTCTAGAATTTAAAGAGAACATGTTTTTAATTATCACACAAAATGGAAAATGGAAAATTTCATAAATTTATTACACCTCTTCTTATTATAGTAGATGTAAAAAATAAATTAAACTATACCTGCACACTAATACTTCCTTGTAATTTCAGCTGCAATTTCTTCAAATCAGTTGGTTGCAACCGTACAACTTCTTCCAGTTCACAAATACGAGCTTGCATTTCATCAATTGCTACTTCAATGGGACTTAAAATTTGAACACTTTTTAAACATACAGGAATCCTCTTTTTCACATAAGGGAATGAATACAAAGCTGAAAGTATGAGAATTATTTATTTCATGCATTTTTACTTTAAGTATTTTTTGTACCTTAAAATTCTTACTTTAAAATTAATGCAAACTAAACTGAATATATACATTTTTTAAAAATATAATGAGTTAAAATTTAATTTTTCATTTAAAATCTCAAATTACAAAAAACAATACTTTTAAAAACTATTTATAATTCTATCTGATTTAAAATACTGGAATAAATAAATTGTATTTTGATTATATTTTATTTTGATAACATAAAATTAATGAAGGTTAGCCCTACATTCCCTGCCCCTACAAATTTTTTGTTGTTGTTGTTATTATTGTTTAGTGAGTCTTATATTATTACCCCATTTTTGGTTCTTGAGTTTCATTTATTCAATAGCCTTTTTCTTTTGACTTCGGAAATCATTGCTGAAACAATATATTAGTTCACATTTTCATACAAATATGCTCAAAATTAATTTAGGAGCTTCTGTACAGATGAATTAACCATTGTGTATCATATTGCAACAGCAGCAGAACCACTGACTACGTTTGAACTTAAGGAACAGTTCTTTAAGAACATTTAGTTCTCACAAATGCATTTATTTCAATAATAAAAGAACAAAATTATAAAAAAATACTTTCATAATAAAAAAAAAAAAAAAAGCTAAAAACTTACATTGTTATCATGGATAATATTCAGTTTTCAGTATAAATGCATGAAAAATTATTGCCTACTAAAAGCTAATAGCTAATAAATTTCAAGGTTATCAAGGCTGTTAAAAGGCTATGATTCAACATTTAAGAGATCATGTATTTATGGATAATATCCTTTTTTCTATATGTGTTCACATGTCATCTAATTATTAAAATATTATGCAAGAATTTAAAGCTTCCTGTGCATGCACATACTTTTCTTCAAGTGTGCTCTTTCTTATAAATTCCAAGGTTTGTTTTACAATAAATAAAAATTATAACTAAAGTTTCATTTATATCACAGATTTTAAACATTTTAGAAAGCAACATACTTGCTGTGTGAATAATCTAATTAAAAATAGGCAAATGCAATTAACTTAAAAGCAAAATTAACCAGAACTAACACTGAATTTGCTATAAATAAATATTTTAATATTTGCTTTTTAAAAATAAATGTTTATAGTGTTCAGCGATGAATCCCACTCCACTCTTGAAGCAGATGACCACCGTTTTCGTGTCTGGAGGGACGGGGCCAGCGGTTCCAATCAGCCTTTCTTTTACAAAGGCACACAGCCATAACCCCTGGTGTGATGTGCTATTTCTCATGACAGAAGGTCATCTTTAGTCATCCTCCGTACATCTTTAACAGCTCAACAATATGTTGATACCATCCTGCGACCAGTTGAATTAACCTTCATAGCACATCATCCTGGGGCCATTTTCCAATTAGATAATGCCAGGCCACATACCACTCGCATATCTTTGGACTGTCTCTGTGCAGCTGATACTCTTCCTTGGCCAGCAAGATAACCAGACCTTTCATCAATCGAGCATGTCTGGGACATTGCAGGCCGTCACAGTCGGGCACCACAAAATATCGCAGATCTGGAGCGACAACTGATGAATGCCTGGCAGAATGTGTCACAGGATGACATTAGGAACCTCTACCACTCCTTGCCTCGATGAATTCAAGCATGCATTGTCACCATAGGCGGTTCGACCAACTACTAATTTGAACAGTCAATATTCTGAATTCTGATCAGGTACTATGACCTTGATTTTTAAATCATTTTATTATCTGTGTATGAGATATACACATATTAAATTCATCAAAAACAACCACTTCCTTCATGGTGCTTCGATTTTTTTGGAAAAGAGTGTAATTATATGCTACTTACCAACTTGTGTCGCTTATTCCCTCAGAAGGGGGGAACACATTAAAAAAAATGAGAACACTAAAATACCATTTAGCTCATGACAACTACCAACACCTTCTTAAACACAAGCCTCCCTACTGAAGACTCGTAGTTTAGTGACGTCACAAACTGTTGGCCTTCTCAATGGGGTGCGAAAAATCGCCTCTAAACCAAGGCCATCTAGATGGCAGCAAGCATGGAGGTAGGAAGTAAAACCTTTCCTACCTCCATGTTAGCAAGTTAGGGGAAATTCGTCCTTGGTCGTGAGAAGGCGCGTGAACTATGTCGCCTTAATTTGATATTGATATATTTTTTTCGATTTCAATCATGCCTTTAAAGTGCTGTGTGCCGTTATTCCGACAAAATTATTGTGACGGTTCTAAAGTATGAGTATATAGATTTCCTAAGCAACAAGATGTATTACATAGATGATTAAAATCGATACCGCGAGAAAATTTTACCATTTCGAAGCATTTTCGGGTAAGTTAAGCTTAACTTGAAATTTAAATTTATTAAGGTATTTGCTACATTTGAAAGAATGGATACGTTAATATTAAGGAATTTCATTTTTATAGAATACATTGTGTATAATATTGTGTAATTACGTATCGATTAGTATAATTATGTATCAAATTGTATGGTTAATAATTATGTATCGAATTGCATGCTAAATATTCCCTTACTTTTTAAAATGTCCAATTTTTTACCTTTTGATTAATTTTATAACTTGGAACTTTTAACTTCATACGTATATGGCAGCAAATGAAATTATTTAGCTTAATATTTAATATATTTTGGTTTTAAAAGTTTTTCTAAAGAAACTGTGAAGGCAATAAATATGCTTATGGTTTTTTTAATTGTAATATAAAGCGCACAGTTTTGCGTAAAACAAGAAATAATTTAAATTTCTAATACATGAAAATTCAAATATTATTAAAACTTATACCACTAAGAATCCTTTCCCCCCCTTTCTCGAGTGGGAGACAAACACACATATGCTTGCTATTTACCTGTTTTGTTAAAATATAAATTGCATTACTAGAAATCCTACTTTTATTACTTTAAAATTAGTAATTAGGTAATTACAGTAATCTGAGTGAGCTTTCATCATGTCTAAAAAATGTTAAGATACCTGATGATTTAACAGTTGTGATTAAAAAAAATAGTCTATTTTTTCTCCAGATAAGCACAGAATTTGCTCCTTTTATATCTGTATCAGTCGTTATCCATAATGATCTGCTTGTGGAAGCATATTTTAGAGATATTCCATTAACAAAAATTAGTAACCATGAATTCCGTTTAAAAATTAATGATGTGTATAATTTCTGTTCATTGCTTAAAGAAGTTGCAAAAATTAAAGGTGATAATAATGAAAGAAGCTTTAAAATTTTATTATTCATAACTCAAGGCCTTCGGGAATTAGAAAAAAATGCCCGTGAACATAAAAAGAAAGAAGTTCAGTTTATATTTGAGCAGCTGACATTACTCGTTTTGCATAAAAATAATAATAGGTATAGTTCTGATCTGTTAATATTATCAAGTTTGATGTTTTCAATTTCTCCACACTGCTACAAATTTTTAAGAAATAGTGCATATGTTACTTTGCCACATCCTTCTACATTGAAACGATTGTATTCTGAATATAATGTTGATTATGTAATTCTAATATAATGTGGAGCAAAGTGTTTGCTCCTGAAAATTTTGTGAATTATGCTAAGGAAAAAATCCACTTTTTAGACGAAAACGATAATATGTCACTTTAATAATCATAATGTCACTTTCAATAATGGTTGATGAAATTCACATTAAGCCATTCTTAGATTTCAAAGGTGAAAATATAATAGGAATGTAGCAAAATATAATTGTGAAAACGCTGCTAATTCTGCTTGTGTTTTTATGCTGCAGAGTATTATATCTTCATATAAGGATGTTATAAGTATTGTCCCAGTAAAATCATTATCAGCGCAATTTTTGCACGGATATATTGTGAAAATAATAAAAGGTTTAGAAAATTTAGGTTTTTCGTGTAATATGTGTGCTTATAAATCTATCCTGCTAAAATTTAAAAACTTCTAATATCCTTAAAAATATTTTCCACACATCCTTCTTATATATTTTTTATGCAGTTAAGTGACTTGAATATTATTAGTATGGAGGGAGATTCCAACATTACCTTACTGTTACTTACCAAACGTCAATCAGTACCTTAAAGCATCATTTTAACTGTAAACATACAATATAAGATCATAGAAAAATTAATAATATATAATATGTTTTGTGCAAAGGAAAATGTTTCCAATATTATATCTGCGAATGAATTGAAAATATATATTTTCAATATATATAAAATAAAAACGAAAAATAATATGTATCTACATCATTAGAAAATACCCTCCTGTTAGTAAAGCTTTAAAAACATATATACTTTAAAGGCAGATAGTAGGTGACCAACGGCGATTGTCAGCCGCCAGTTTGTGACGTCACGATCTCGTAGTTGGGCTTCTGTTTAAGAAGGTGTTGCAACTACCCCAATACCTATACTTTGTCATCATAGATTTGCCATTGCAAGTACAGGCAGAAGTGGGCAAGACACCAAATTTCACCATTGGTCACACAGGTATAGTTCTACTAACAACTATCAAATACTTTTCTTGAACTGTTTTGACAAGATTTGAAGAATCTAGAAGTTACATTTTCCAACTTTTGGGGAAATAAGTAGAGATATATTTATGAGATTCTTTCAGTATCATTGTTGCTATAGAGCCTGAAATCTGGCATTCTACAGAATGCCTAGGCACTTTAAAGCAAATTATGAAATGATTAACATTTCACACACTTCTTGGGCATTCCATACATTGCTAAATGACAAACTAGCAAAGTATGACATACATTGATGTAAATTAAATGCATTGATGAAAATATAGTGCAATTCAAAACAAAATTATTTCCTTTCTTGATGCACCATGCATGTTCATATTTTATTTTATTTAATAAGAAAAATTATACTCTATAACTTTCATTTTCCTTTAAGGATTATTTTGAACAAAAGTTTTTTAATGGCACTCTTTTACTATTTTTTCTGACAAACCTTTTTTTCATACTTAGCCTAAATAGCATTTGTAATTCTACAGAATGCCTCAGTATCACATACAATGCCTAGGGAAAGTATATAACATATTCGAGTAATTCTCATATTTCATGCTTTGCCTACAAATGCTTAGGCATTCTATAGAATACCTATGTTTTATATACTGCCAGTAACATCATCTATATATTATATTGAGAAATGAAGGTATCAAGATTTGGTTGTCAAAAATATACAGTTATCATTCCAAATCATTGAACTAATAAAAACCTTATCAAATCCGATAAATTTTAGAGTACAATATACTTTGTCTTGGGACTTATAAAATTTATATAACAATAAACATGCTTTGAAGAAATTTACATGCTTAAAATTAAATTATTATTAAATAAAAATGATTTTTCTCTGATCAGATAGCTTCTATAACCATAAATATACATACTGGTTAAAATTGTCCTCCTCTTACACTGTTCTTCAGGTAAGCCTCGAACTTTGTTACTGTCTACTGTGAATGGAGTTTCAAACATGAATCTTCGCAAATTATTATTACATTCAAACTCTGTAGGTCTCAGCCGCAATTCATCTTCATCAAAATAAGGCACAACATGGGTTACTTGAATGTATGCATACTTCGATTCCAAATCTTTAGGATTGACCTAATTAAAAAAAGTCAATTTAAAATTATATACTAAATCGTGTACAATATAACTGTAATATCTTGATGACTGGGTGACAGCTGCAATGGATTAGAGATGGTGGCATTGTGACAACTTGAAAGACATTATTATTAGGAAAGGCTTTTCTGTGTAGCTATAAAGATGACACCTATGGATAAACATGGCCAAAGACAAGACATAATTTCTTCCTGGATAACTAATTCTTAATACACATATTCACACATCATCAAGGGAAAAATAGGTACCCTACAATTTATAGAAGCTTAACATTTTCAGATAATGGTTTCAGCTTACATTCAGCAATTAGCTGCAATGTGTTAGCAGAACAAGGCAGAGTGAAAAAGTGAATACGCATTCAGAAAGTCAAAAGGTATTTTGATTTGTGATTGGATAAGATCTGCATTGGAGGATTACATAAGGAAGAAGGATACAGATTAATTTTGGAGCGATGCACTTTAGATTCATATATTATAAACAGCAATTACTATTTTTAGAGCAGAAAGAGGAAGTAGCCAAATTAAAGTTAGTACTTTGCTTTCATATTTTGTAAACTTTATATGACAAAAAAAAATCTCTAATTTAAAAATTTACTTTAAATTCCTCCATTTTTCAAATTTTATACTTGTTTCTTCAAAAAAAGGTAATTCAAAAAAGGTTCTTGTAAAAATAAGGTAAGATATTACTTTTTGTTGATGTATTCTTCTCATAGTTTATTATCTTATAAGTAGTTTTGTATAATTTTTTTTAACATGCGGCTGATTTTCCACTTTTATTTCTGAAAGACATTTAGCTAATATTGCTTACTTCAGAGTAAAAATAACATAAACAAATACCTGTAACAGCATACATAACTGCAATAACTTGTACAAAGAATGCCTATATTAGAATTTATTATTGCACCTTATTCATGCTACTGCAAAGAAAACTCAATAATGACTCTCAAAATATGCCTAATATTTTTATGCTGAAATTAAAACCAACTACATGCTGCTGCTTATAATTTATTACCACTGAAAAAGGATTTAGGTTAAAAAAATAATTTGTACAAAATAATTTAAATTTCTTATTTAGATACTTAAGTGCTTGGAATATGAAGTGACTTACTCAAATTTTCTCTACAGTTTTGGTGCAATAAGAAAAGTACAGTTAATTTTGCTAGAACTTTAATCTGTACAATTCTACATACCGTATTTTTAGGAAAAAATACAATAATAAGAAATGAAATTTGAATCTCTAGCTACCATCATGATTTAGAAATATTAATGAAAAAATCATACAAAATGTGAGCTCCATGTAACAAAATCTCCTTAAAAAACTACCAGTTTTGTTGAACAAGAAATTGCTTCTAAATATCTATTGCTTCAGTATCCACATTAACTAAAACAATTTTTTTTTTCCAAAAATCTAAACGAAAACATTTTAAGTTAATAAGAGAGACAAAAATAGCTACAATAAAAGCAAAATAGCCACAATTAAAAGGATTAAATGAGGAGGATTTTTGGATCTCTTCAAAGAATAATAAAATATGTAAAATATGTTTGAAAAGTATGTAGCATTCAGAGAAATATTTTAAAAGGAATTAAAAAATTAAAATATTCAAAAAATATTTTGAAAAGAATTAAATAGTAATTGTATATTGTTGGGAAATTTTCATGATTCACTGAAAAGAAAATAAGTGAAACTGTATTTAACCTTCATTGGAAGCCAGACTATGTGCAGTGGTAGTGGTGTTGTGTAGCACCACAATTATTTGGAATGGTGGCATGGACATGATATTGGAATGCTGATGTGGTTATGGCAGTCGAAGGCATGAATGGCATAAGAGCCTATTAGAGTGTGAAGTTACAGTAATGGCCAGCATCCACTATGTAACAATACATCAAATTATAGCCAAGTGCCTGCCGACAGATATAATGCCAAATGAACTCAATGGACATGACACAGGAGAGTCATTATGGTCAAAGCTACCACCTGTTTCTCTGTAGTACAAGAACTGTCTACATGAATTTTGTTTCTGTGGTCATGTTTGCACTTATGTATTCATAATTCAATAAGTTATTCTTCAGATATATTAAACATTATATTCTTCACTTTCACAACATGTTCTCCATCTTCATAATTCTGCTATATATACATCATTCAACAAACATATGACTAATAAAATTTTGTTATATATTTCAACAAATGAAGTCATTCATATATTTCAACATTCAAGTTAAAAAAATTTAAGACAAGATAATTAATTAAATATATTTCATAAAATGAACCAAATTCAGGAAGACTACTAACAGAGAAACAATGAAAAATATTTTCATTTCCATTGATTAAAACTGAAATAATTACCTTATTAGAATCCATAATCATTCTAACCACATCTTTACCAAATTTATCACAAAACAAATGATAAAGTCGCTCAGATATTTCTGCAAGTGATGTGACTTTTGGCTCTTTATAAATGTACTCTTTTCCAGCTTCTTCAACAAAATATGCCTAATAAAAAGTGCAACAAAATATGCCTATTAAATAACTATATTTAAAAAAAAATCACCTTACAATATAATGCTAAATAAATCATTAGATAAGTATTATATTATATATATATATATATATAAATAAAAGGTAGAGATAATATATATAGTAAGTATATTAGGTAAGAGATAAATAGCGCTAATAGCTGCTATTCAGCATATCAAATGTTGTATGATCTTAAGCAGTCAAGAGCAGTTGTATGATCTTAATCAAGTTATTCTACTACTTGCAGCAATTGCGCAAGTAGTAGAATAACTTGATTTCACTCTAAATGAATTTAAGATCATACAATATATATATATATAAGTGTATAGTAATATATAAGCACACAAAGTATATTCACAGTAGGGGATGGGACTTCTAAATTTCTAAATACAGATAAGAAATAGCTTAGTTAAAATAACATATATGTAATAATATATATAAAATATATAAATATATAAAATAATGCATGTTAACTATTGTAATAATACATATAAAATATATGCAATAAAATACATAAAATATAGCAGTATATGTATGTAATATTTTGGCAGTCAGGCACATGAATGAAGCTTGGCAATGAAATGACGACACAGAAGGATTTAAATTTACAGCTCCATACCTTTATTCCAGTCAAAAGGCATATTATCATTCTTTATTAAATAAGATTAAATTCAATGCATCATAGTATTCTAACAAAGGGAGGCAGATGAGAGCAGCAGCATAGATCTTAGAAGCAGAGGGAGAAAGTGGTCTCTGATGGCGCGAGTTCTCTATTTATAGAAGTGGTTACGTAATAAGATGGAATGTTCTCGAAAGTACTGGTCTAGGGGAAAGATTCTGAAATTGTGGAAAGTTAATTAGAGGTTGCTTTTTCACATAGAGCAAAGCTGTCCTATTTTTTATGTTTTACATATATATATGAATAACAAAATAAGATGATTACAAGTTGAATTTCAATGGTGCTATTCTCATTTCATTTTTAGATTTTTTTATTTACAGGTAATTAGTAAGCTGACAAAGTAAGCTTACAAATCAAGATGACTGATTTTAACACAAGAGAGAATCACAATGAAAAAAAAATTCTAATGTTCAAAAAGCATTTAATTTCCTTACTCTGTTGAAAAACTTTTTAATTATATCTCTTCAACTTTAAAAAATTGCCATAAAAATTATAGAATTATTTTTCTAATTATTAGTAAAAGATTGCCATAAAAATTATAGAATTATTTTTCTAATTATTGCATGAAAAGCAAAAATGAAATTTGTTTTAAATTAGTACAATGTTTGCATATTACCTAAGCTTAAATATATTAAGAAATCAGATTAACTCTTAATATGTAATTCTAGTCATTGAAAATGAAAGCATTTAGAGAAAGAATACAAAATATAAACATTAACACACAGATATATAGTTTCATTAGTCTACTAGACTATTAAATTATGTGAGGTCTAATCAAAGCAAAATTAAATTTTGAATTGATACTTCAATAAATTTCTCAGCATTCTTAAAATTTAGAATGTCAGTCCATAAAAAAATATTTTTAGTAGATTTTTCAGCCAGAGGGAAAAAATCTTCAGTGCATTTCAAAATTTGTTATAGCTGGGTTACTATGCATCTTTATTTTTTAATATGCTCTCATTTTCAAAGATTAAATTACTGTCTAGCAGGAATTTCCAAAGACAGAGTAAACAACTGGCCTCTGAAAATGTGAATTTTAGTTTTTAAAATGTTCTTTTAAAATACAGGAGCCAAAATTCTTATCTATTTGAGACAGGATGAAAGATCAAATGAAGAAAATAAACATTCACAAAATGCTGCTAAATATTTGTATGATTGCTCACAGTATCTGGATACACAGATAGAGCCATTCATGGAGTTTTTTTTACTTCAAACTGATGGAATATGAAGTATGCATAGAAACTATACCATCCATCTAAATTTTGAAAAGAAAAATAAAGGATTAAACATTGATGACAATTAATTCTGCAAGGTAAAGAAATCAGCACCTAGGTGCAAGAATAAGGAACAAAGTCAGCATCATTTTATAAGAAATAAGTTTAGTACTTCAAACTTTCAAAATCTGTTGAATACTATTCTCAGTTCTGAAAAATTGTAATATTTTTTCAATCATATCCACAATATAATAAAACTGTTGGCACCTGCAACCTCTACAATATAAGTATGCGACTTTCTAATGTTTATCAGAGTCACTGCTGTTGGTGTATGAGAGCGACTGTGAAACAGCTCCTTGGAAGCCATGAGTGACAATATCTCAGCTGTGAGTTTGAGATATTGTAAAATCAATAAAAAAATTACAGTCCACTAAAGATAACTATTTCATTCTGAGACATTTTTTCATCTACCTTGAGGGAGAAATGAAGCTGTAATCAAGAACACTCTTAACTTTTGATTTGGTATGAGAACAAAAGCTTCAGGTGAGTGTTTCATTTTACACATTTATGATGAGTTTAAGAGAATTTTTGGTGACAAAAAGGGTTCTAAAGATCCAATTAGAACTAATTAAACTGAAACAAAACTTAGCAGATCCTAGGTGTTCTGAAGTCTGTTGAAGGAAAGAGAGTTGAGTTGAAGAAAGTTTAGAATCAGGTTCTAAAGTTATTCTCAAAACCACTTACAATGTTTGTGATGAAAAGGAAATTTATATTTATCCTCATGAAGAAGAAAAAATTGTTGAGGTAACTGATTATATGAAATTTGAGTTGAAAAGAAAACTGTGTAATTAAAAAAAAATTGGTTAACACTTCAGATGAATCTTTAAATATAAAACTGCTCAAAATATCCTTTCCTATGTTCAATAACAATTTACATGACTGCCTGTTATTCCGAGACATTTTTAAAGCCAATATCTTGAATCAAAACACAAGTTTATCACACACAATAAAACTTGAGTATTTAAAGTCCCCTTTAGAAGGAGATGCCCTTTGAATTAAGCAATCTATCCATATTATGGATGCAGATATTACGATCTTGCTTGGTCATTCTTATTTATTCATTCACTCAAATAAAAGGGAACAAATATGTGTGCATTAAAAAAACTTTCTTAATGTTCTAATTATGCCCAAACCATAAAGTATCATTGTAATTGAATAAGTTGAACAGTTATGTAATTGAACATCACTATGTATTTCAATAATGAATCATTGTTGATTTATATATCTTTTGCTCACAGCTCAAATGTTTTAGTTATACTTTTCAATATTTTTATGTCCAGTTGTTTATATATTAAATACAACAATTGTTTGAATGCGATGAAGCACTGCAGAGCTGGGTGGTATGTAAGCAGCTGCATCTCTGCCATATAGGCACGTGACCTACAGTCCACTAAAGTGTTATTAGTGCTCTTCATGATAAAGACTTTTTTTTGTTTCATTTTTCAAATTTAAATGTTAAGAAGAGAAAATGAAATGCTATGAAATCAGTAGGAAGGATTAGCTATAATGATGTATAACTTTCTTCTATTAATCTGAGTAATAGTTACGAATGTTTTATATAACTAGTACTAGTAGGCATGTTTTATATAATTAATAATAGTTATATAAAACATTCTGACATTTTTAGGCAACTTAGATCAATAAAGAAACACTCATAGGCTCCTAGAAAGAAATCACTCTCTATAGGAAAATAAGTAACTGAAATTTGGTTAATGAAATTCACTATTAGGCATTTTATATATTTCTACATACACAGTTAAATTACAATGATTTAAGAGATACATATAAATATAGGCAGTACATGAAATATTTTAATTGTTTAAAATAACCATTTTCAGGCATTATGTAAATTTGTAATTTAAGATGTTAAAGTTTGGAGGGTCTGATAGTATGGTGTCTTCACTTTTACAATTCAAGACTACTACACTCAATTTTATGTTTTAGAAAATGGCAACTCTAGTTTTAATTTTTTATCCTATTTACTTTACATTAAAATTATGCCAGATACGGGCAATGACCAAGATGTTTTGCAGAAAAGTGCTAATATAGGATTAATTCCATTAATGAAATGAAGAGCATAATTAATGAACTTTTTGACATGGGACAATGAAATTGCTTTTATTTTTGATGTAAAGAATTTTGTACAGCCTGCCGAGTTTTTAATTTTTCAAATCAAGTTCTTTACTTTACAGTTCATAAAAAACGCACATTATAAATTGTATGCCGATTTCATAAACAAAAGTGATATATTTATGTAATTTATTCCTTAATTCCAATAACTTCCTAGCAAACAGGATTATTTTTATTTCCCCATTTAAAAAACTTTCAGGAAATATTCATAAACACGCTTAAGTAAAAAAACAGGGTCAGATTTTAGAATTTTAATAAATATTTTTTACAAACGATCAAAAGAAATATATTTGTAAAATTAGTATTTTATTCAAAATTCCTTAAACAAAGTTTATAATTTTGCATTTTAATAACACCTAATTAGATATCACATTATCTTGAAAAAAAAATTTAACCCCTATGTAACAGTTTTGAAATGAAACGTTATATTAACAGCACCTATTAAAAAAAAAAATAATAGCCTTAGTACCATAAAATTGTTGTGTGGGGTAAAGTAAAAACATGGATATGGAATATTGCATATGAAAAAACTTCATTTATTTGCATAAATGTTAAATTACAAAGAAAAAAATTCTGATTAGAATAGATGGATGTAATAAATGTTTGAGAAACTTTTATACTTACTTGGCCAAAGAAAGCTACACGGTAATATTTTCCTAACAGCCTACGACCAGTCCTATTTACGTCAACAATTTTTGCATACGCATTATGAAGTGTTTTATAACACAATAAAAGAGCCTAAAAGAGAGAAATAGTTCTGTTTTGAAAATCTTTGAACTCCGTTACCTTTATTTGTACCTAAATATATACTATGACAAATAAAATATAAAGAAAGTTTTGGTAGCTTACTTCATAATTTCGTTGTTCTTCATAAATAGGTATGATTAATTTATATACTTCTGGCATAACTTCATACCTTTCAGCTTGCTCCAGCATTTTCACACACTTTTCTAAACTTTTCAATAAAGTCTCCTGTAAAAACACATAACTGTAATATAGTTTTCTCATTACTTATCATTTTTTAAATATACTATATATATATAACATTTAATTTTTCTTCATTGATTGAATAAGAATGAAGATTTAATGTATTTTAAAGAAATTCAGCTAAGAAATATGAAAATGTACCTGCATTTAATGAAGGCAGCATATATAATATTTTTTTCCCCCAGCATCCTGCTCAGATATACCCTTAAATGTTGCAACTAGACTGCTGGCCATTAAAATCGCTACACCATGAAGGAAAGCAAATGCGAATAAAAGATATTTATATCATGTAAGCAGTATGGCATGAATACAAAATGATTAAATTTGTAAGCTTTTTGGAGGTTACAGGGCTGCGAAATTAGTAGAGAGCACTGCCACTAATGGCAGCTAAAACGGCCCTTACCCCATTAGGCATGGAGTCAAACTGGGCTTGGATGACAGAAATGGGCAACTCATTCCATGATGAAGGCTATGCCACACTTCATCAACCATCTTAGCTGGAGAGGGGTGGCAGTCCAGTCTTTCAGCAACCGATGACCAGATGTTTTCAATGGGTGACAAATCTGGAGACCATGCAGGTCAGGGCAACAATCAAATACCCTGTGTATTGAGGAAGGTCAGAACACGACGTGCAACATATGGTCTTGCATTATCTTGTTGGAACATCACATTTAAGAGCCTCGAAGATAGGGCTCAAGATGAGATAAGATATAAGATGGATATAAGATGTCAAAAATGTACCAATCTGCATACAAATTACCGTCGATCCGAACTAGAGATGTGTGTCATGTACACCATGGCTGCTTAAACCATCACACACAGGTGCAGGGCCTCTATGCCGATATCAAATACAAGCAGACCTTAAAAAGCACAAATCCACTACACATTTTTTTTTTTTTAATGCAGTGCTTCAGATGTTGTTTCTCTCTCCTGCATTGTCTAAATGTGCTGAATTAATAATCATTTGCATATCACAACTTCTTCTTTCTTTAATGTGATTTTGACGTTCATCAGATGATTCCTTCCTGGTGTTGCAAATTTAATGGCCAGCAGTGTAATTGGGATGATGACTGTCATATCCTCCAGCATTGGACATACTATATAATTTTCTGCATATGTTGTCTCAAGATACAGAAAAGTATAATAGAGGCATTATTCGTTAATAAAACTGTACTACACGGAGAACATAATGAAACAATTTAATAAACTTTCTGTGATGTACCTCATTCTTTCTCAGGCCATATCAATTAAAACCCTAAGTTATTAGTATAAGTTGAAAAATAAAGAAAAAATATGATGGCAAATTTTCAATAAACATTCAAAACATTCTTCTAATGCAACAGAACCAACTGTAGATTCTTTATCATTTTTAATATTGTCATCATAAGGAAAAACTATAAAAAAAAATTTAAAAAAATCCACAGGAAAAGGAAATTAAAATTAAAAAAATAGCATTTCAATACATCTCTCTCTCTCTCTCTCAGGGAAACAAATTACTATATGAAACTTCACAAAAACAAAACTGGAAACACAGTATGTCATTAAAAATAGAATAATAATTCTATTTACTACTACAATGTCTATTATTTACAAATCCCAATCTTATATTCCATGACATGTAATTTTTATAATATTGGACATTTTATATAATATCTAAAAAACCTTTACATGCTGAACATATGTGAAGTATAATCATGATTAAAAATTTTATAGCAAGGTCCTAGTCTTATGAAAACATCTTACAGAATTATATTAGTAAAAATACTTAAAATTTCTTTAGAATTCATTAGCATTATGAACCAATTTTCTATATTTCTTTAGGTCAGACATGATCTGTAAACTTTTAAATATAGCTTCTATACAGATGTATATGGCAATTCTATAAAAATTGTGCAGTTTCAGGAGGTCCCACATACAGAATGAAATAATAAAAATCTACTGAAAATAACAAATCTGTTCATACAGAACTGGGCCATAATTCTAGAGAATTTCAAACAAGTTTCTTTGTTTTAACCCCTTTGCGCCTGGTAGCGCAAACACGCGCTTATCGCGGAGGCCGGCAGTGTCTTACGCAAGCATCTGTCCAGGGCCGGGGGCTTTTTTGATACAAAGCCTAAATCCATGAAATTTCCGAAGTATCAACGCATTGTTTAATAATGCTCTATAGAGTATTTAAATGGCTTATGCTTTATAGATATTTTTATACTATATACTTTAATTACCTTATTTCTTGTTTAAATGCCTATTTTACACATTTTATTTTCATTACTCACCATTTTATGACTTTTAACATTATACATCTGAAAACTAAATATATCGGGTTGGAGGGAAAGTTCTGTCCTATTTTAAATAGGCAGGTGATTTTTCTTGTAAATAAAAAAAACATCTGGCTAGTGAGTCAATCGGATTTTTTTTTTTTGTTTTTTTAGCTGCTGTATAATATAAAAGGTGCCCTTTTTTACCCTTCATCATTTACTTGTAATACTTAAAGGGAAAAACATGTCAGTAGATAAAGTGCATTTACGACACTGCATTTTATATGAATTCCAAAAAGGAAGCAACGCATCTGTTGCATGTAAAAATTTTATGTGCGGTATTTGGAAAAGATATTGTAAATGTTCGTACTTGTCAAAGATGGTTTAGCAAATTTCGTTCCGGGGACCTGAGCCTCAAAGAAAGTGTTCGATCTGGACGACCATCCAAGATCGATAATGATGTTTTTGCGATCCATGTTGGAAAATAATCCACATTTAACAAGTCGAGAAATTGCAGAAGAGTTTGGCATTCATCATACAACTGTTGGAGATCACATTAAATCTCTTGTGTTTGTGTTAAAGCAAAGTGTTTGGGTTCCACATGAATTAACGGAAAAGAATTTGTCTGATCGTGTAAGAATATGTTCATCACATCTGATTAGACACAATGTGGAGCCGTTTTTGGACAGGCTGGTTACTGGAGATGAAAAGTGGATTCTTTACGAGAATATTAAAATAAAAAAATCTTACTGCAAACCAGGAACATCATCAGCAACAGTTCCAAAACCAAGTATCCATCAACGAAAAGTACTGCTTTGTTGTGGTGGGACAGGAAAGGTCCAGTGTATTACGAGTTGCTGAAACGGGGAAAAACATCAACGCGGATCTGTACTGCAATCAGCTGGATAAATTGAATGCAGCTATCAAAGAAAAAAGGCCAGCATTAGCGTCCAGAAAAGGAATAGTGTTCCATCACGATAATGCTCGCCCGCATACTGCAGTGGTGACACTACAAAAACTGAATGCGTTAGGATGGGAAATTCCTTAGTCACCCCCCGTATTCACCTGACATTGCACCCTCTGATTATTACCTGTTCAGATCTCTGCAAAATTATCTAACGGGAAAAAAATTCAAGTCTTTTGAAAGTGTTTCTAAGGCAGTTGCTGACTATTTTAACTCCATGGATGAGAACTTCTACAAAACAGGAATTTACAGGTTACCTGGAAGATGGCAACAGGTTGTAACAAATAACGGAGCATATATAATTGATTAATATTAAACACATATTTTTATAAATGAATTCCAATATTTTCTTTAAAATACGACAGAACTTTCCCTCCAATATTACTTAAAATTCTCTTTTTGTATGAAAAATTTGAAAACAGGGATCTACACACAGTCCTATATTACATTCCTTGCACTCGTAATAACTCATTTGCCGTTTTGGAGGATTTTTCCGGGAATGTGAACAAACGAAGCATCGTCGTCTCATTTTCTTATCAGTCTCTTCTGAACAAAGTTTTGGAAAATGCCTTTCAGTTAATCTTTCAGAATCAATATCAGAATCAATATCTGAAATATTTTGCATCATTTCTGCTATTTCATGTTCTGTTAAACATTTTCGACGCTTCGACATTGCAACGGTAAAAACAGAAAGAATTCACGTCTAACAAGATCTAATTATTTTCTAAAAACTGAACTGCAAACCGAAATACCCAATGCTTTAGTGCAAATAAAACTTCTCTAATTACAGTAAACAACTACCACGTGCGAATAAAGTGCGATTTAAAGAGACGTCATAAATCACGCCATTCGGAAACATTTATTTCCCCGTTTGTCTATATAATAAAAAACATGTGTATGTGAGTCATGCGTCTCTCATTTTGAGTAGAAGGTCTAATGTACATGTATCTGAAACCATATGGACATACATTGCCATCTTGTGGCAGAAATTATAGTTTTTCAAACATCCTAGGACATTGGCACAAATATGTGACAGTCGGTAGAGAACGGGAAAATGCTCTGGCACGCCTGTGTGTCGGCCGGAAGGTGAGTGTGTTCATTGCTGGCATGTAGACGTGGCAGGTTAACGAAGGGGTTAATTCTTCTTAAAAGATCCTACAGAAGCTTTTAAGTATTTGCATTATAAACAAAATTTACTTTGAAATAAAAAAAAATGAACTAAATTTTTCATTTAAAATCTTTAAACTAAATTTTGAAATGAACTTTTTTTGAAATGGAGAAGGAATAAAAACTTTTAGAACAGATGCAATTTTTTTTCCTGACAAAAATATTTCCTAATTTTCATATCATTTTGATTATTTTGATTTAAAAAATATTTATATAAAAATGAACACATTTTAAGCAATAGTTAAGCTTAATGAAAATTAAAAACCCTATCTCACATCAAGGATACATATACAATAAAAGTATTAAGTTTATGAATTAAATTTTATAACTGGAATAAGTTTTAATAAAAAGAAAAAAATTAATCATAAATTTAATCATATAATTAATTTTATGACTTGAATGACTATTAATCATTTAATTGATGTTATGGTTTACAAGATTTATGTTGCTATATATGCAGTACTATACAAAAAAATTGCATAAACTATTACATCAATTTAAAAGCTTAGAAACATCAAGCTAGAAAAAGGAAAATATTTTCATCCAAAAATATTTTTAAACTTATGAATTACAGTTTTTTCACCCTTCCTATTCTATATATTATATGGTATATCAGAAACTAAATTCGCTTTGGTTTGAAAAGTTAGCAGATTTTTACAGAATATCATTCTATAATGGCTTTGTAAAATTTCAATATGATTTTACAAAAGCAACATTTCTTAGAACAGGGCTCGTACACATTTCTGCACATGGAAATTAAGTACTTTTAAGGACTTTCAAGGACCATTCATGAAAAAATTAAGGACCTATAAGCAAATGGGAACTGAATAAATTCAATTAGAAATATTATCTATGCTGAACTTCACTTTTGTAATACCATCCTAAAAATAAAATAGATCCATAAGTAGGATGTGTTATTATTAAGCATAATTAACACAATTATTAATAAGTTTGAGAATAAAATCAACTTTATGAAATTTATCAAGTAGCATTAAATATTTTTATTTGAAAGAAGATAAATGACATTTTATTTAGGTTTTATTAACAGTTAGCTTTATGCTAATTTTTTTTTTCATGTCTCATTTTTGTCACATACTTGCTCAGTCTATGGGTTTAGTAAATGGTAAGTAGATTTTATGTCAAGTGGCATAGGTTAAAGTGAGAAGTAAAATCATAATCAACAACAACAAAAGACTGGCTGTTGTCGCCGCTCCTGCTTGCCTAGGAGAGACCTGATGTAAGCACGGTTCGCAAAGCTGAGGTCTATCTGATGCAGTTAGTGTCGTAGCTTCTTGTAGAGTCCAGGGATTGTAACTCAGTTAATATAGATTAAGGTCCTAATAATCCACTAAAGCACCAGAGGTGACAAGTTGTTTTGCATTATTTTAAGTCTCACTAGATGCAAAGAATAGGTTTTACATGAATTTTTACAATTTTGTCTTTTATCTTGTGACCACGACAAGGGTTAATGAAAGGCAATAACTTGCTTTAAAATGCAGAGATAATTTTTGAAGGTAACCAGTTAGTTATAAGTAATTAAATTGGGTATTAGATAACCTTAGTCATTATGGATTTACATGGCCACTATTAAATTTTATTTATTTTTTAACAATATTTGTTAAAAAAAGCCTTATTAAATTACAATCTAATAAAATTTCGCAGTTTAAAATACATGTAATTTATGGCATTGATTCTTAAACAATATTAGGATAATTACACATTAAAAGCTACAAAATATTTATATTTTGCAGCAACAACACTCAACAAGATATTTATGCGTCTTTTTAATTTGAAGCATCTTTTCTAACAGTTAGAATTTTGTCTCAATACACAAGACAGTGTTCTTACTAGTTTCTACGTTTTGTATATCCTACCTATCAACCTCTCCAAAATGTACCTATGAGGGTTTACTTGATCTGGTAAAAGTTAAATAGTCCAAAACCCTCCAGACAGATGTGAAGCAAATTATCGCAATATCTGAAAGTAACTACAAAGATTTAAATCAGCTTCTTATTTAAAAAGAAGAACATAAAGCATGTTCTTATGCTAAAAAAGTCAATTACAGCTCATGGTGATGTAATTAAACAAGAAGAATCAAACGCAAACTAAAAATATGAACTAGTCATCAAAGACTATACAATTTAATTTCATTTTAAGCTGACTCAGTAACTCTATTGTCATAACAAATTCAAATGTCGGCAGCGGTAATGTAAAGACAAATAATTGCAAATTATCAGGGCTGGCAGGAACTAATGCAGGGAGCAAGGGGAGGTCAGAAACACATTCTTGTCTTACACTCCAAAAACCTCAGTTTAAAAACTGTTTAAGTGATTTGCATTCTGGTGAGAAATAGAAATGGAAAATTATAGTAAAGGCTGAAATTGTAAACAACTAGGTAATGTACTAATCATAATAAAGATCTGTACATATCTTTGAAGAATAATTTTCCTTTCTCTTAATGTATTCAGTTTTTTTTTCTTCCAAGTTTCCTTTTCATTTTAGAGTTTTTGGATTTAATTAAAGATTTCTGTTATTCTAAAAATACTAAATGCAATTTAGAATGTATAGAGAAAGCTGCTAATTTTATAGTAATAGGAACATTCAGAAGAAATATGAAATATATATGGTAAGGTCCAGTTACAGAGCTGGTGTGGCAGAATTTTTTGAATTTATTCACACATCGAGCAACAAAATCCAGAAATGTCAAATCTTTTAGAATTTAGAACAGCATTGGAAGCAAAATTTACAAAGGCACAAAGCAGCACAATTTAGTGTGTATGATGCATTAAGACATATTAGATGAATCGTTTAAATTGTCAGTTTTCAATTTCTTTATTAATAAAAAAAATTTATTTTCTATAATGCCTGTCCATATGATAAGATTAGAAGCATTTTTGATATTTTATGCTTGTGTCTAGTGAAAAATAAAGAAAATAAAGCGAAGATAAAAATGTTAAGGAAAAGATTCTAATATCAGAACTAAGACATTCAACTATTATGTTTTTATTGCTCTTCCAGATGTTCTCCAAAAAGTAAGAAATTATGTATTAATACCATGGAGACATTTTTCATTTTGCCACATTTTTCTGGGATCTTCAAGGTCTATAAATCTTGCCTTCAAATCTTTCTAAACTTTCCAAGCTGCAATGTCTAAAACCCTAAAGAAAAATTACCCCTGCCAATTCAGTAACAGCAAAAAGCCAGAAATATTTTCAAAAAAAATTTTTTTTTAAATTGGATAAAAAATTTGTAAAATTAACTTTATAGAGAAAACTGACACATATTCTGAGACAATTACACGAGGAAACTCTTACCAGGAAAAAAATTAAAAAGAAAATTTTAATTAATTACATAGCTATTTTGCTTTTGCTAAGAACCGTTTCGTAAATTGTGCTTTATAGCATTATACCTTGCTTATATTTCAGATTCAAAATATTGTATAAAAAGTGGCTAAAATGGAACTTTATAATACAACAACAAAAAATAAAAATGCTTTATTTTAATGTTAATCTTTAAATGTAATTACTAAATATTACCATTATTTTAATGAAACTTATCAATGTTACAATGTTTTAAAAAAATCGTCGAAAAATTCCCAGATCTCGGAATTAAAAATTTTTTATAGAAACTGATCTTAAAATCGCCAATGTTGATATGTCACTAAATTTAAAGCAATTTAATAAAAGAATTCATATCCCCAAAAGCGAAAAGTTGTTTAAGAGCTCTTCACTAGAAAAAATGAAATAATTTCGAATGCTTTATGTTTCACACTTGCTCAGAAACTCTATCCACCATTTATATTAGAAATAGGAACAAATTATAACCCATGAACGCATTTCCCCATTCAAAAGATAACGATATTTGTTAGAGAATTACCAAAAATATTCCACCAAAATGCTAATTCACACTCAAAATGGCAGTCGTAAAAACAGTCAGAAATCTCAGATGATTAAAAATTAAGGACCTTCTGACAATTTTGGCCGAAATTAAGGACTTTTAAAAACCAAAATTCGATTCTAAAAAACTTAAGGACTTTTAAGGACTCTTTTAAGGACCGTACGAACCCTATTAGAATTGTGTTCTGGGTATTAGAAAATTTGCATTCCTCCTTTGTGGCTAGGTTGATCAGAAAAAGATAAAAGTATATAATCTCATGGTAAAATCTACAGGTGGTATAGATAAAGACTGTGTTTTCCATATGTAGGTAAAGACTATGTGTCGTCCTGATATACCTTATTGACGTGGCCAACAGTCGTGAATTGTTCCAGCATAGTGAGGTGATTTCAAGGCATGGAAACCTGCAGTGGGATATTGCTATGGAAGACTAGATTGGAAAATAAATTTAGCACAGTGTCCAGGATAATTTACTGCACCATCAAGAACCTGCCTAACTAAATGAGCTGTCAAGCAGACTCAATTCATGTTCTACCAGTCAAGTACATTCATTTGTCATTCACCATATTTTTTACTAATGTAAAGTATATTCTACTAATGTGACATAGTCTAACATCTGTTTTGTTAAACTCAAGAAAAATCCCATTACATCTTATGTCTTCAACTTACAGCAAATGTAATTACTCCTTCGGTAGGGAGCCACGTTTTATACTACTGCATATAACCTAAAGAACCTTCAAAAATTCAAAACAACATTGTGAGTGCTCTATGTAATTTCTATAGAAGTTTAGAGCTATATCTGCCACTATAAATTTTTTTTTGCATTTGCAGGGGTGTTCTGTCTTAGAAAAACATTTTCTCTAGATTGCAGCCTTGAAAACAATACATTTAGAAATATTATTAATACAATGATTAACATCACTGATGATTTAAAAAATAATGCAATTAGAAGCTACCTGAGAATATTCAATATCATGCATGCCAGAATCCTCTTTCAGATTTGATTCATCTTGTTCAACGTTAGTAGAAATTGATTTAAAAGCACTGCATCCTTCAGAAAACATGCCTAAATACAGAAATGACAAAAAATAGGAAAATTTTAAGGTATATAATTCTGAAAAAACTCTCATAAATCTTGAAGCAAAAACTATCATTGTAAAAGAAATACTTACATTTTTGTTTTAAATACTCAGCCTCCATTGCAGCTATGTGTATATAACAATGTGCAGCCTATTAATATGAAGGTATATTTTAATATTTTATATTACAACTATTTTAAAATACTAATATTCTAAAAATTTATAAAAGAAAAAAACTTATTTGTAATTTTTACATAAAGATTAAGAATAGAAAATCAGTGCACCATAAGATCAATCATAAGTAAAAAACACTAAAAGCAAATTTTATTTTATTATATTCTTCTCCATTTAGTTACTAATATAAAAAAATTTAATTTATAAAACTTCATTTTTTTCTTATTAATTTTTAAAAGTCAGAAGTTTATCTACAATGTTCTTTTAAAATTCCACAACCCTTTTAAATAAAGCTATGATACCTTTACTTGATATAATTTTAGATTTTCTGCCAACACACAATTTAAATGTATTCAAAGCTGGGTATTAATTTTTTTACCACATTTTTGCATTCATTGCTAAATTTTTTGGACTCTTTTATCATATTCTTCACTTTTTGATCTGTGTAATACTTGAAACAGTACACTTGTTATGTTGTTAAGCATACATTTTTTTCTCTTTTTTTGTTTGCTATATTCATATAAATTCATCACTTCCTGGCATATGACTTCTTATTGATTATGCCCTACCAAATACTATTTTCCTTTTATAGTATGCCCTACCAGATAATATTTTTCTTTTATTCATGCAATTTAAAAGTGTTTCACTTACCTTATTAATTTCATTACTAGATGAATATAAACTCAGTTTTATATTAAAATGGAGTTCTAATCAATGATTACCATCCTGAATGAGAATTCATATATTATAGAATTCACAATCCCAGAATTAATTTGATTCATTAATTTTTTTCAGTTATTTCCTTTTTATTTTATTTTTTTATTTATTTAAAGTTTTTAAAAAAAAAGTTTTTTCTATAAAAATTTGAAAATAATTTGATTTTTATATATATTATTTACTCATCATTTGAATTTCAGTTATTCTGAGACAGAATTTTAACAGCAAAATTTCTATTTGATATTATAGATCATTTGTAAATTAATCAAATCTAGTCATTACTAATTGCATATCATTTTTGCTTTAAAGAAATTTTAATTGTTTGGGCCAATTTAAGAACTAAGAAAAGATAAAATTTATATTTATTTTTAATAATTAAGATTCAGATAACTTTCATAGTCATGAGGAAAATAATAATAAAGTAAAACAGTTTTTTATATTTAGGGATGATAAATTCAATTTTTAATAATTTCTTTAAATGAAAAAAAGAAAGGTTTTCATAGAAATATTTCAAATCACAACTTTTAGTAAGTAAATAAATTAGTTAAAATAATTTCATTTTTGCACACGTTAAAGGAAATTGTATGTAACTGATAATTTCTTACTTCTGAATAGTCCCCATTTTTCAAGTGATTTTTTGCCATGCTTTCCAGCCATGTTTTGCGTAAAGCTGGTGTGGATGCATAACTAGTTGCCAGTTGATGCTGTAAATCTACCAACATTTCAGGATCATTTTCATGTTCCTTCATCTGCATAGTAGCCATCAAAACAGTTCTAATGCGCTTTGTTAAATCTTTTACTTCCGAAGGGAAAACTAAAGGTATAAAGCAGTGACATAAAAAAGTAATATTTAGGATCCATGTAAATAATAATTTTATACAGCATGATATAATAATAATTCAAAAAATTATCAATTTGTACTGGGTACACTAAAATTTAGAAAATCCTACTAATTAAGACACACTAGTAGCATCATCAATTATTAATGATGGAATAAAAATATATGTCTGAATTTTATTTTATTTTTTTATCTTTTGAATTTTATTTATTTGTTAATTTCCATATCTTAAAATAATTTTACTTTAAAATGGAACCCCTTTTAGAATAAAATATTTGTTTAATACTGGTTGTGTTTTAATCTGTCTCATGAGCTTGCTACTAGCATCTAGGTCTCATGTTTGTTAGGCACTCAACAGAGCCAGTGATTTCAAAAGTGCATGAATTTAAGCCTCACTAAATGCTATAAAATAATGATTTCAAACTTGCAGTCCTCGAAGTAATTTTATACAGCCCATGAATATATTTTTATATATTTGTTCAACTATGATGTTCACAATTTTAGAGATATAAAGATATAGACTGAACTATTATTAGAGATATAAGGAACAGAATATTAACTATTATTCAAGATATAAAAAACATAATGGGATTGCTATTAAAGAGAAAAAGATAGAATGAATAGGTTGGGGCTTTGTCGCTATATGCTTCTACAAGGCCATGTGACTAGGATAATGTGGAAGAATATTCCATGTTACAATCAGTAACTTTAATTCACCAGTCGCCAGGTGAGAGCATTTCAGCACTCTAATGTTTCCTGTTTTCGTGTTTAGGTTAAAAGTAGGTTTTTTAGTGCTTAATTCAAAAATTATGGTATTACTTGAAATAAATGTGAGTCTGAAATTTAATATTTAGCTGTCAACAGGTTTGAATTACAAAGCCAATACCCTAAAGAAATTTTTGTACTTCCTTATCATAACGGCCACCAACACTGAATTACTAAACAATCAAGATATCTCACCGAAATCTCTCCATGTGTTTTTATACTTTGATATGTGTTTCATCTCGGTTGATTAGAAATTAAATTTTGGGGGATGCTATAATAAGGAAATACTGAAATTTCTTGCAAGTGTCAAACTTTACAAATTCAGATAGAAAATAAACATAAATTATTTTTTCCCTTCACATTATTATTATTGTTATTTATGTATTACTTTAAAATTTAGGTTTGTTTCTGATTTTGTTTTGTTTTGTTAAAAATGTTTTTAAATTTTGTTAGAAAATTTTTCTGGCCCATCAGCTGTTTCCAGATCACATATGACACTTGCATGCAGTTTGAACTGTGACCACTGATGTAGGATATTGTTAAGCAAATCATGTGATTCATGAAATTGGGATCAAAGAATTGGCAGAAGTAGCAAATGGCAGATGATGATATGAAAAGTGCCTGCAGCAACTTTCCAGGATCAGGTAATGTCTTACAGTACGTTCACTAATACTGGACACTCAATGACTCTTAAAAAAAGGGTGATGTACAATTCACATCAATCAGAGAATGAAAAAAGTAGAAAATTTCAGGATGATCATATGATCATTATTTGTAATTTGATTCAAAAATTATATTTCTATTTATTGTTTTAACTAGAATAAAGTGTTAATATTTACATGAAAAAAATATCTAAAAGTCACTAAATTCCATAATGTTCAAACAAATGATAACTGTTTGTTTGAGTGAAAGAATGCAATAATACTTTTGTTAAATTCTCAATTTTTGTACATATCGAAACATAAAGTATTTATTAATTATTAGCTCTCCTCATTTTTAACTGCTAAAATTTAATCATAATATACTAATAGTAAAAGATACTTTGACATGCAGAAAAATTTATAAATTAAAAACAAATTGGAAAGAATATTATTTTATTCAAAACAAAAAATATTTTTAGGCATAACAATAAAAGGCATACCAGTGTTTTGCATGGCTTTGTCACTATTTGCATAATTATTAATCACAGATAAACTTTCCTGAAGTCTTGCATTATTCAAACCAACTACATCACCCAAAAGACGTGATACAGATACAATTAGCTGAAACAGAAAATACATTACAGGGGTTGACTGTGTGAATAAAACTGATATACAGAGCATAATAAAATAATGCAAGATTATTTAAATATTTGAATAAATGGAAATAAAATCATCAACAAATACCTGCAAATGGACTCGAGTTAATTCCTTTCTGCCAGAAAATTCAAAATTGCTCCGCATTAAGAGATAAAGGAGGGCACAGGCTTCATTTCTAACTGTTTGCAATTTTGAATTGCAACAGCGTAATAACTAAAAAGGAAGAAATAAACATTAGAATTAAAAATCAAATTAAAGAAAAAGTCCAATTATCTGGCATTCAGTAAACTGGAAAGCTCAAGTATCCGAAATATTTTAAAATTTATTTCCCCTTTTTTAAAAGAAAATAAAACAAACAAGAAATTTGCAAGTCCATCATAAAGCTCAGATGCAACTTAAAACCCAACTTCTAACATCTTGCATGTGAATGCAATTACATAGCTCTCTCTTTTATATATTGATTTAATCTTCTCCCCCCCCCAGTTATATCCATCATATTAGCTGCAAGAATACATCCTTGGAACAGGAACACTCTTCACAAAAAGTCAAATAAGTAGTACGGCATGAAAACATAAAGTTTACAGCAAGCATTAAGCCTGTCTATCACAAAGACTATTCTATCAATATGTTTATGTTGATTCTCCTCTTCCCCCCCCAAAAAAAAGGGGAAAAAAGAAAAGAAAGAAATGGAATTAATTAAGCAGTGTGATTTAGCAACAGTAATGGATAAACATGACACAATTATATAAGATCTTTGCCTAGGTTTTATGTAAATTCAACCAATTCTCGATAAGCCAATGTAGTTTTTGTTAAGAAGGTATAAATTAAGTGCAACTTATTTGTTTTTCCTTTGGATTTTGAAAAAGGTGACTGAAATTTACTTTCTTTCGATAGAACACCATGTAATGGAGTATTTTCAAGAATACAACATACAGGCATTAAGAAACGTGTACATTAATGGACACAATATGTGACTTTATTTGGAAACAAATAAACAATGGTGATTCAACATGAAAAATTATGGTAAGTAGTTTTAAGTTTTTTACATGCTAAATCTTGCATCTGTTGATTACCTAAATAATAAACAATGAATGAATCTTTATCTAACTAAATAATTTTCTTTTAAATTTCTACCAGAATAACTGGCTAAATTTGGTGACAGCTCTGCCAACTTTCATGGTCGGTAAGATTTCATAATCATATAAGATGTTTCATATATTAAGGGCTAAAAATATGTTGCCTTTCATGTCTGAAATGCATTTTTCCCAAACTTACATAAAATTTTAAATGTTGTCTTCTAATATTCAAGCTGACAGCAAATAAGATGATAGTTTTTATAATTTAAAACTGGATTTTTTCCCCATTCATTTTGCAATTCCGTGGTGAACTGCACTTTTTATACACCAACTAACCAGAATTTTCACAATTCATACGGCATTTCGAGCTTTTATTGTATCTTCTGATGCAGAAAATTGGCAGACCATCTTATGTTCCAATCATATTGACCAGTGATTTTCAATATTTTTCAGTCTTTTAATAATTTAAAAATTGTTTCACACTAACAATAAACTAAATTTTAAAGAATTTTACTTGGTTAATTGATTGGCGTATCTATATGTTTTGTAAAAATAGCATATGATAACAATTTTAAATGAAATATAAAAAAAATTGGCATTACAAAGTAAACAAAATGTTTATTTAATGACAAATAACATATTACATTTGATGTAAAATTTAGGATTTGCAATTTTTGATATCTCATATTTTATACTACTACTTTCATTTTGTGACACAGATTAAAAAGTCTGGGTAATTTTTTTTTGTTTTGTTTTTATGTTCATCAAGCTGAAAATCTTAATTAGATGAATAAATTTATAATAACACGCTTTAAGAATTTTCCGATAGTGTCAGATAATCATATCTAAAATTAATTCAGAATGAATTAATTGATTCTTCTGAATATTTTGAAATTAAATCTCAGCTATTACACACCAAAATTAGTTCTTCCTCTTCTTTAAAAAATAATTCATACATCAACATGTCATTTATCACAAATGAATTTTGACCCCATTTTTTTTTTTTTTTTTTTTTTAAAGTTTGGAAAATAACAAACAATTCTCTAGTATTGTCAAATAATCAATAACTATTTTATGAAATTTTTTATAACAGTCTTTCGGAACTGACTCAAACTTCTCTATACTACCTTTTTGTACTTTATTCTTTCATTAAGTATCTTTATTTTTGAAATCCCAATTAATGGGTTGAGGTTACAATATTTTCTTTTAATTCTTGCATAATTGTACTTATGTTATTAAAAATAACAAAAACATCAGATAAGTAAGCCACATTAGAACACCATATTTTGTCATCTAACAAATCAACAAAATCATTATTACCTTGTTAAAATAATATTTTTATTTCATTTTTTAGTTCAAACAAAAGCAAGATACAATTTTTCCTCTGGACAATCACTGAACTTCCATATGCAATTTAGCAATGATTTACATTTCGTATGGTATAACTAACTAAACAGCTGCCTTCTAATGGCCTTGATTTTATATTATTAACCATTTCAACACATTATTCCAGCACTATTCTCAATTCTGATGGTATAATTGTTTTGCAATGAGCATTTCCCAATGTACAAAACAGACTTTAACTAATAGTATATCTATCTACAGTATGTTTGTTCCCTTATATGTGCTACAAACTCTTTTATAGATCCAGTCAAGGCCAGAGCACTTCGGTATAAATGGAGCACACAGATTCTCCGAAATTTTAATTTTTGCAAATATGAATTAATTTCATCAAAAAATGTTATGTGTGCTTTCCCCATAATATCAGTTGTTTTGTTGATTTGTAGAGCAAAATTTGAATTTGCAAGAGTTTTAGTACTATTTTCTTCAATATTTTGGGATAAGTTGGTTGGCACTTTATTGGAACCATAATACTGTTTGACAAACACTCAGGAACATTTTGATCATTTTCTATTGTAGATGTAAATCAATTTTATGAAATCATCATTATACTTGTGATGAACATCACATTTTTTTGGTGGAGGAAATGTCTTTCTTGCACAGGGTTCAAGCTCATAAGCCTGATTGCTAACATCATTATTATCATGGCTATACTTACTTCCTTTTTTACCCACTTTCAGAGTTTTTTTTAAATAAAAGTGATTTTGAAAAAAAATTACTAAATATATATGCTGTAACCCTATGCATCCATGAAGCAAGTGACTACTGTCTGTTTATCACAAGAAAAGCTCTCAAAAAATAGTCTTCAGCTATCTGTTGCTGGAGAGACAAGCCCTAACTCATTTTTTTTAAAGGTATCTTGAAGAATTGTTTTTCAGTTTGCCATCTTGGTGCGCTTAAATAACAAGCTGACTTTAGTTTTCCTATGGTCAGCTTTTGCCAAAACCAAAATAACAATAAAACGTTCACTTCATTTATCCCTATTTTAAATACATTAGTCCTGTTGCTATACAGACCACCACAAACTGGCAGTTGCTATAGCAAGAGACCGATTACAGTGAGATCAGTTTTTTGGACAGAAAGATTAAACTAGTATACATGTCATTTCAGCAAGCATTAGCATTGGGAATAGGAAGAAATAAGAGTGGGTTTTATCTCCCTCTCACTTCTATACGTGCAATCTATGTTTCAGATTTTCTTCTCAATATACAGGGTTCAGAGAAATGACTAGTATAGCTTTGTTTCAGTTAAATCCATAGCTGTAACAGTTATGAAAATTTCCAATTTGCTGTTTTGGTTTCCATCAAATATATTTGGGATTAAAAGTTTGCTTTGTTTAAAACATTAAACAGTCTGAGATGTGATGGGAGTGGTTCAACTATTCCCTGCTAGGAAGTCAAGAACAATTGAACTACTGTTAGACGTCACTTATGTATGGGTTGTCACAATGTAATCTGATGACATTAAGGTGTAGAAAAATCATACATGCACTATAAAATTCAGTATTGAATGAGAACAGTCACATTATATATAAGTACATACAAAATAATTTTTATTGCAAGCATTTGTAAAATTTGGTGGCACATTTCAAGAATTTCACAGTGTACTAAAGTGCCATGGCACAGTGGTTCAGAATCACACCAAAATGTGATAAATATTTGGCAATATATATAACACTTCAAAATATTGGAAGACTTTGCTAATTATACTTCAAGTGTTAAAAAAAATAACATGTACAGTCATTAAGTTATTTTAAAGAAGGGGATATGTAAAATGAACAATGCCCTAGCTGGGACTCAAAGCTGGATATCTTGAATACGTGCGGAGTGTGCTACATCATTACACCCCAAATGCCAAGGAGAGATAAAATACTGTTACGGATTTGGAATATAAATAGCTCATGTGAGTAGAATTATAAATTAAATTGTTTTATTCCCCGTGCAGTGCAGCGTGTGATGAATATTAAGAGAAAGCTAAGATGGAAAATTAAAAATACAAGAGAAAGTACATTTTACATTTAATGAATAAATATCTCTTTTTGATTTCGAGAAATTGCTAGAACAATCTTGTGCGGTCGATTCAAAAAGCTATAAAAGTCAGAGAAACAACACCTCAGCTAAGTGAGTTAGGATTAGTAGAGAGTTAGTGTTGTTGTTGATTTAGCTAGCTCTGCCATTTTGCAAATAGAGGATTCATATTGCAATCGAATTTTGTTAGAATTTTCTTAGCTCAGTGCTACACTTGGGTATCACTAAGAGTTACTCTTTTAGTGGACAATCGGACTTACAGGAGAACAGCGACTATGCGGAATTGGATGTTTCTTTTGCTATCGGATTACCAGCAGGTATTTCTAAAGAGACTCAAGAACTTTTTCGAACCCCCAAACCAGTTAAGAAAGCTAAAGCAAAGAAGTATACAAAGGAAAAACTGAAGTTGTTGCATCTAATGCACTTGCGACTGATGTATCAGACAACGAATTCGGAAATAAGACTGAACTTTACCAGGTTGAGACAAATCAGGAAACCAAACAATTTCTGAGGAACATGATACTGCAATAACGAATGGATAATTTTATGGAAAAACTCAAATCGATCGGATTCAATAAACCCAAGATGTCACCGATGGAAACCATAAGAAAACGAATTTGTACTGACAACCCCTCGACTGAAAATAATCCAGAAAATCGACAGACCGGGTGGGGGGGGGACCCAGAGAATGAATGGATCAAGCCTAAAAAAGTTGCTAAAATTCCAGAAGAGCCCAAATCTATGGATATTGCACATCAAAACAAATTCCAAACCCTTGTAGAGCAACCAACAGAGAATGAAGGAGGAGCTAACTACGAAGAAATGCCTCACTCCATTGTTATAGCTCATAATGATGTAGACTGGTTAAAATTAATGAAATTTTCCAAGAAAACTGTTCCAAGAAGTTTGAATCAACTTTGAAGGCAAAAAACATCTTTATCTACACAAAAAACACTACGGACTATAGAAAAATGTGTAAAATACTTGTGGACAAGAGCATATCGTTCCACTCTTTTCTCCTAGAAAGCGAAAAGCTGCTACGTGTAATTCTTAAGGGAATCCCAGCCTCAGTGAAGGAAGAAATCATACTCAACGAACTTGCAAGACATAAGTTTTCAATAATAAAAGTCAAGCAATTTACTCATAGACGTCAAGAAACTGTTGAGAAACTACCCATTTACCTATTAGAATTTTTAAAAAAATGCAGAAGGTCATGCTACCCATCAGGTAAACAGAATGTTCAGCTTCAATGTTAACATCGAGACGTTCTTGCCTAGAAGACACTCAATACAGTGCTTCTGATGTCGACTCAGGCGAACACAGTTCGCAGTTTTAGGCTCCCGCGCGTGAGTGCGCTTTTTCTGGATAACAAGCAGTTTATTTTCTAACAGTTATACCATAGCATAAGTTGGAGTATCAGAGTAAAGCTCTGAATTAGTTCATCCTAGGACCAGAAAGCGGGACGTAAAAGTGAGAACATATCAACAAGTCGAAAGAGTAATAGACGAGTTCCAACCACAGTCCTGAGCTACTACACATGAGATGAGAATACAAGAGAGCACGAAAAATACAAAGCAAGACAAGAAAGTACGAAAAATACAAAGCAAGTATTAGGCCAGATTTTTAGGAAGAGTGTCAAGAATTCACAGGTACACACAACATAAGAAGCAGGTAAAATGGAGTATGTGATCAAAAAGAGAAAGTGTGGTGCAAAATAACATATCAAATTGGAGAAATTAGACATGAAATGGTACAAAATATATGATATATGTCGGAGATGTAAGATCTTAGTTTCTTTGCACAATGTTGTTAATTTCTTCCAATATCTGGTAGAAAATGTTTGTTTTCTGACCGAGGTCATTTCCACAGTTTCCCATGTCTGGAATTTTATTCCTGAATATTTGGGTGATTTTGTTTAGGTTACTGCCAAATATTTTTGAAATTCAGTCATAATTTTCATAAGTAGATCTTTGATTCTGCTCATTTTAAAATTATTCGTAGGATTCGAGCTTGCACCAGTTAGATCAGTATTAGCGTCTACATGTGTCTGAACAGGTTTCTGTGTTTGCACATGTTTCCTTTCAGGGTTAAGGGCCTGTGCGTAATTGATGGCAGGTCTGATGGAAGATATACCTGAGTTTTTGGCTTTTGGAAATTTACTGCATCCTCTATAAGAAGCTGGCTGACCTACTACTCCACAGTTAACACACTTAGGCGTATCAGTTTTGCCTTTAATTTCACAGTCAGAGCTTTTGTGAAAACCAGCGCATTTGACACACCTAGGTGCCATGCAGCAGGTTTCAGACAAATGATGCCACTTTTGTCAGTTAAAGCATTGGGGTATCTGATATTTTAGATACATATTTCTCAACACTAGTTTCAAAACAGTGAAGATTAGAGAGCTTCCAGAACTTCTCAAGTGTATCATTTTGAAGCAGCTGTATTTGAAAGAGCGGCATAGGAGCTTTAGTATGATTTTTTGTTAACTGCACAACCTTATAAATATTATATCTCTTTTCTTTTAGCACATTTTTGATTTCGCTAACATCCATAGTAGAGGGGAGACCCCGGAGTAGGATCTTAACAGGCTTTTCACGCCTAAAGTTCACTACAAAAATAGTCAATAGCATTTTCTTTAAAAACTTTGCTGACAATTCGGTGGTCATCTTCAGTATTCGGGAGAATTCTAATAAATTCACCACTAATTCGACACAAAAACTTAACATTAGGTAGGCTTTCAGTGATTTTTTTTGGCAAAGTCACAAAATGTTTCATTTTCCTTAGATCTCACCATAATCGGAGGAATACTGATATTCACCACACGTGGAATAACTTTTTGTGAGCTAGTAGATGCCTGAGAATTAGAGTCCGGCTCGTTGTTGTTCGGATTAACATTCATCTCACTATCACAAATCATCAGTACTATTTACATTAGTAACCTTAGACAAAACATCAAACTTATTAGAAGTTGGCAATTTCTTGTTTTTAATTACATTTGGCTTAACAATTTTAGCCGGTTTCTTAAAACCTGCATCATTATCAGTTAGGTCAGAGTCAGTATGTTCCATTTTACATTTGCTATTGCCTGTATCACATGCAACAGAATTAGGATTAACAGACTCATTATCCGCAACGTTAACAACACATTTTTTAAAATTGGCCAATTTGAGAGTACTTGCTAAGTAAAATTCGCACTTACCTTCCAAGTCCTTGATTTGTTGAGAGACTAGTTGTATTCCAGGCAAGAATCCAGATGTAAGAGTATCCGGTTTAGTGCAGTCACATTGAGCAAGACCTTCTAATAATGTTTGTTTTGAAACATCCCATTTCAACTTCAGGGAAGATATTTCCGCTAAAGCTGTATTATAATCAAAGTCTAAAAGAGTAGTAAAATCCTGTCGAGAGTCCAAGTTGTTATTCCTTATTTCATTCATATTTTCACAGTTTATATCCTCATCATCATCACAAGTCATCAGCCCAGGAAACCTGGGTAGGTTGCGGCGAAAAAGCACTTTCATCCACCGGTGCACGGTCGCTCTTTACATTGAAGCAGTCAGAACGAGCACCTACACACTACGCGTCTAGAGTGCAACCCTCGTGCTTCTGATTTCAGGAATTTGGGCACTCACAAGTCTGCTGCAATAAATCTAAAAAATACTGTAAATGCGGCAAACAGCACCAAACCAACCAGTGTACCCTCAAAAAAGGAAGAAAAGCTAAAGTGTATTTTTTGCGGATCCAACCATGTCAGCAGCTACCGTGCATGTAGCACCTACAAAAAAAGATTTGAGGGAAAGAGACAGCCCACTCATCATTACTCATCATTACTCTTTTGATGTAGAGGTAGATGGTTTGATTACTATAGGGACTCCGAAATTTTTCCTCATTGGCATTGGCTCAGCTCAGTTTTGTTTAGAAAACAGCTGCTGTTTACTGTAGCGAATTCGTGGACTAGCTTTCTCTATTTTGAATTAGTTCTGTTGAACGTTTTTAGTAGTATAAAGATAACTACTGTGAGATATTGGGATATTGTATGAATATCTTGTAGAGTCATTAGGTTTAATTGGAAGCAGAAAAGATGAAAAATATGCAACCGCGTTCGCCGGGAATCGAACCACGGACCTTTGGAATACTGTCCCAGCGTGCTGAACCACTACACCACGAAGGCACACTAGGGGGAGAAATACCTTATGTACTCCCCTTTTTAAAGGGCGACTAGGGTTTTTAGGAGACCTAGTCGCCAAATCCTGGGTGCGGAGAATCATCATCCACAACACTTTTAGTTCGGGTGCCACTTGTAGAGTCATTAGGTTAATTGGAAGCAGAAAAGATGAAAAATATGCAACCGCCTTCACCGGGAATCGAACCACAGACCTTTGGAATACTGGCCCAGCGTGCTGAACCACTACACCACGAAGTCACGCTAGAGAAGTGGGAGAAATACCTTATAATCTGAGGAAATTTAAGCGTTTTGTTTGTTGTGATAGTAATAAATTTTATTCATTTTTCATCGGACTTGTGCATTCAATTCATAATGAACCTGTATGCACACAACAATTCAACAACCTGTATGTGTGAATTCTTGACTTTTAAACATATACCATGATTATTTTTCTCATAATTTTCAAACTCTGAAGGCACAAAAGTCCTGATGTCTAATTATTATTAATTAAAATTTAACCTAAATAAATATTAAAATTATTCCTTTTCATTAAGGAACAAAAACTATGATAACATGAATCCTTAAAACTAAATATTAAAAAACTAAAAGCTTAAGGGAAAGGAACTTCGCTTCTTTCTCACACATTTCATTCTTTGATTTAATTAAATTTTCTGTAAAGTTATTGTAAACAGCCATTTTTGCATAATAAAGTCGAAAAAAATTACATGCAATTAGCTGCAAAACCTATATCAGACATGATGAAAAAAATAAAGAGGGGGGGGAATTTTGAAATCAAAGAGTATACAGAATAAGTTAGCATATCAACAAAAGGAATTTTAACCTTTTACTGAAGACAGAGAAAGAAACAGACGAAAAATCTTACCTCAAAACATAACTTGCCACATAAAATTGCATTTCCTTGAAATAAGGCAATAGGGAACTGTCGAAATGATAAAAGGAAGCGAATATTAAGTAAAAATATTAAAAAACAAGACAATATATTTAAAAATCTAAATTATTTTCAAAATTTAACTCACATATATATTACATTATGGAACTTAAAAAACTATTTCACATGTACAAATAAGAATTTACAGATGAGTTGCAGAGATTGCTTACAAAACTGAAAATATTAGTAATTAAAAATAGCTCTGCTAAAATAGAAATTTCAAAGAAATTTAAAATTAAATCTTAATAAAACCAATTGCAACTGTATTTGACTCAAATAAAAAGCATTTTAGAAATAAATATTTAATTAAAAAATTACATGCCTCTTATGAAGATTAAAATAAAAATGAAGCATTTTAAAATACTTTTGGAATGACTTTGTAATAGCTGAATCAAGATTATATCATTTTTAACACAAAGACTGGTAATTTAAAATTTTTACCTTCTGTAAAAAGAAATTAACTGCTTTTAGTATTAAATTCAAGATTCTGAAATAGTGAAATAAGTCAAAAAATTGAAATCATCAACTGAATAAACAAAATCATTCTAATTGTTTTCTCTCATCTGAAAAAGTTATACTTATTTAACTTTACACATTAAGAAAACTCAATCAATCAAAAAGTTCAATCAAATTTTTTCTAATACATTTCATATAACAATTCCATGGATGCCAAAACACAAATGAAAAAAGTATGATGAAGCTAGATTTCTGTATAATTTGCAAGTTGCATAAAATTGCATACATGATACTGTAAAACACTAGTTATTAAACTTCACTGGAAAAATAACGTTAGGTTTACCATACTTTAAAAGATAAAACATGGACATAATATATAGCTTGAAATGTGAAAATGAGAACAAACTATCCAAAAAACTGCTTCAAACTAAACACCTTACAGATGCAAATTTATTTTATGAGATAAAGTCATTCAATTTCAGATTTCTTATAATTGACTATGAAACCTAAAAATCACAACACTTAATTTCCTTGTTTAGTCAAATTTCAGAAATTCATATTTCGACACAGGATATACTATCATTGGAAATTACTTTCAGATGTCTAAATGTTAAATGTTCTTTAGACAGCCTAAAATGAATTCTCTAATGACTTGATTTACATTAAAATATCAGGATATTTTAGGAAATAAAAGTAAAATGTTACACACACAGGAAAAAAAAAAAAAAAAAGAGAGAGAGAGAGAGAGAGATCCTTCATTATACTTCTCCTTTCACCTACATAACAGCAAGGCCATTCCTCTCCTTAAACCTCTGAATTAAAGTGAATAATCATTTCACATTAATATTGTGAGCAGAAATAATATATATGTGTATAATTCTCAGATGTTCAGAATAATGCTTATATTACAGCTTAGCAGCTTTTAAAGATTTGAAATACAGAAGGCATTTTTTTTTCTCTTTTTTTTCAAAATAAAATAATGCTGATTTAACTTATTCAGTTTTACATATACAACAGTAGCTTTTTAGAGTACATACTTAGTTAAAACATTTGTTATCATCCGTATCATATCATGTACATATTAAAGCCATCAGTATCAAATCCTGGACAACAATGAGGCACTTGTATGATTACAACAGGTGTGAAATTAACAGCAAAATTTTAGAAATACCGTATTTATGCGAATCTAATGCGCCATCGAATCTAATGCGCATCCCCATTTTAAAACTTTAAATAATAAAAAAATTGTTTGTCGACGAATGTAATGCGCATCAATGGTATGAGGAATTTATTGAATATTTTATACAACAATGGATTTTTATATAAACTATCAATCAATGGTATGATAATTTTATTTAAATTTAGATACCATATTTTTACATTAATGGATTTATACGTAAAGTAGCAGAAACATAGAATTGACCTATTAGTGGGCTATTGTTATGTGAAACAATCATTGTTAATTACTTACCACTACCGTATACCTACGGTACCTATCGTAAAATATGAACATGAAATAAATCGTAATATTTCTATCTAGCTAACAGTTTCTAGAATCAGTGATTAATAGTAAACGTCTTTATTCATTAATGTTTTCATCACTGGAATCCTCACAGCTCTCTTCGTCAGAAGCAGATTGATTTCTTCTTTCCTCATCATCGTCATCGTCATCCCCGGCGTTCCAGAGCACGGTCATCTTCACTGCCATTCGATGAATTTGAAATGCAGCATTTCTTGAAAGATTTCATAATCATTGGTGCTTCGATGTTTTCCCAGCCAGCAGAAACCCAGTGTGCAACAATGTGCGGTGCAGCACGCTTATTTTTCCTGTCAGGGTCAATTCACGGTTTGGCTCACAAAACAATTTTTTGTACTCCGCCTGAACGTACCCATTAAAAGGTTTATTTATACTAACGTACAGGGGTTGTAACACAGACGTCATCCCTCCAGGAATTATAACAAGATCGCTGCCTAGGCTGTGCATCTTCTTTTTTACGTCGTCGGTGAGATGACCACGAACTGCGTCCAGACAAAACATTGATGGTGGATTGGAGAGCCCACCGGAACGGCGTTCCCATACATTTCGGAGCCAATCAAGCATTAATGATTCCGTCATCCACCCCTTCTCTTGGTTTCGAATCAGGACATCGTCTGGGAATAGCTTTTCATTTTTAGGGGTTTTAGGGATGTTTTCCGTTTGAAGATTAAGAAAGGGGGAAGTTTGCACCCGTCTGCTGTTATTGCCAGCATCACTGTTACGCGTTGTTTTTCACATCCCGAAGTTTTGATGATAACTTCCTTAGTCCCATTCTTCGTAATGGTGTAGTTACAAGCATATCAAACCAAATTGGCGTCTCGGCAGCGTTGCCAATTTGCCCCATTGAAAAATTCTTTTCCTTCCGAAGTGTGATGACATACCGCTGAAATGTTAGTAGTTTTCCCTCAAAATCTGCAAAAAGCTTTTGGCATATTGTTGTACGGCGTCTTAGAGATAAGCCCATCTGCTTCATAAACTGATCCACCCATCCACGGCTAGCCTTAAACTCTTGTTTCGGTATTCCAAGAACTTCAGCCTCCTCTTTTGCTTTATTCCTTATGGTGTCACTAGTCACAGGTTGTCCATTCTCCCTCCTTTCACGTACAAATTCCAAAACTTTTTTCTTCAATTTTAGTAGGGTTTCTTTCCTTCTTCTTCCTTGCGAGGGCCAGTGAATTTCTTTCTTTCTTACTAGCTTTAGTTGTTGCAAACAGTGCCAATTTCTGTTGCCGCCACAAGCGAACATTGCTCTCAGCTACGTTGAACTCTCTCCCTGCCTTTCTATTGCCATTTTTTTCAGCATAAAGAATTACTTTACGTTTGAAAGTAGCGTCATATGACATTCTTCTCTGTTTGCCCTCCATTTCTTGACTACGTACTCTGCAGTTTGTATCCTCTATGCAATAATGTGTCAACGATAAATGTAACGGTAAATGTAGTTGAGAAATACAGTAATCCCTTGTTACGATTTAAATTTGGTTGACTCATCGGCAAACTTTGCACTCGAATCTAATGCGCCATCGAATCTAATGCGCACCCTAATTTTGAATACTACATTTGGCCAAAAACGATGCGCATTAGATTCGCGTAAATACGGTACATTAAAAAAATTACGATTGTTAGCTTTCAATTTTGAAGTATAACAAGAAACACTGTTTTAAAATACCAAATTTAAAACAATAAATATAGCGCTACTTGCTGGAGCTCTTCCTCATTTGCATACTTTTCCCTAGTCAATTAACCAATCACAATCAAGAACACAATAAGTCATTAGCAATTTAATATTTAAAAAAAGATGGAGCTTCATTAACACTTATGTTATTTTTGACAGTATGGCTCTACTTACCTTTTAAGTGTATCATTCTTAATATATTTAAATGCCTCAAATTTATACAAGGCATCAAATGATAAATCGTTACAATGCACTGAAACTAATACACTCTTTAAATAAACCAATTTAAAATTTTATGCACAGAATTTAATTCTGCAAGAAACAGAAAAGATAAAGTCTCCCTATTGAAAACTTTTAACTACATATAAAAGCTGCATTCTGAAAACAGAAATTAATCCAACATCAAATTCTGATAAATGCAGTGCCTACAAAGGTATTTTCATATACATTTTTCCTATGTATAACATAAATATTAGTCTATTTCCCTTAGAAAGTTCTCTAGATAAGTATGTATCCTCTTTAAGCAAATAGCCTTCATATACGTTATACTGAACTATAAACATACATAATAGAAGGATTATCTCTTTCTTTACAGAAAATGAGAAAAATATTCATAAGAAATATGAAAATTTAGCTTTAAAGATAAATGTATCAATGCGTGTTATTGTGTGAAAAATTAAATATTTTAATTTGGGCAGTGCAATTTGAGTGGCAACAAAATTTTTTTATATTGCCGAGTATTCTGATTAAATTTGAAACATATATATCTTGCGCTTTACAGAGTGGCAATGCAAAGCTTTTAAATTACTGGGTTTTTAATCAGAAGTCCATTTAATTCATGTAAAATATACATATATTGTATTTTTTTTAAAAAAAGTGGATGCTGACCTTTCCCAGGACTCAAAAAAGAATTGCAGAAGGTTTAGTGACGATAGCTATAGTAGTAACTGAGTGTATTGTAAACAAAGACACACACAAACAGACATTCTTCTTTATATAAGCCTTTATTAGGATTGAGAATTAACTAAGACTTATGATTTGGAACTAGCAAATAATTTGATGCTTACTTGGAAGTAAGATGAAACACTCTCTCTTAATTTAGTTGTTGTTAATTGATGGAAGATCGGTCTATCCCCTTGATAAGTCGATTAATCTGCAATCAATGGCAATAACTTTTTTTTTTTTCAATGCTTAAAATATTTACATTTGGTTTTGGTATTTTTGTGATTAAAAATTTTTCTTAGCAGATTTTCATGTTTTTAAGCAAGGTCTTGAAAATACTAATTAAAATTCTGACTAAAAAAATTTTTTTTTTTCATTTATGGTTTTAAATTGAATTTGTGTTCCTTGGAGATGGTATATGGAAAGTTTTTTTTCTTATAAATTATTATGAATTATTGGTTTATTACTTTGCAGCTTTAGTGCAGGTCATAGGCTTTTTAATTTATTTTTAATTACTTTTATTTTGAATATATATATATACAATTTGTAGGAACTGGTACAACTGAACATGGTTTGCAAAACAGTTATTCTTATGAAGGGGGACTTTTTTGGGAGAGTGGTAAAGAAAAAAAATAGTTTACATTTTTGTTGATAAACAGCAGCAAATCATACATTTCAAAGGAAACAATATCTATTTGCATTCAGGCACATGTTTACAAGCATATTACTCTTATTCTATGCGTCCACCATTGCCACAAATTACAGTTTGTATGCGAGTTACAACACCATTAACAGCAGCATGTAGCATATCTGAATGGATGCAAGTGATTTACTGATGTATGGCATTCTTTAACTGCACCAAAGAAGAATACTGTGGACTTCCCCCCAAAATCTCAAACCCTAAAATCAAGTGCTATTAAGTCCGGCAAGCAAGGAGGCCACTCATTTCTATAATGATAGCTAACTAATCGTTCTTTGGTGAAAGTTCTTCGGAACAGTTTCACTTTGGTTGTGATATGAGGACGTGTCCCATCTTGCATCAAAGTCATTGTGTCAAAGACATTATGTTCCATTAAGTGCGATATCACTTTCTCCTGCAGCAGTTACAAGTAGCATTTTCCAATAATTTAGCAGGCCTTCCAGCCAGCTTTCGCACAGCTCTCTTCAAAGAAAAAAGGAGCCATAATAATAGATATACTGAAACCACACCAAACAGTTAAATGCGGTGAATGTAGGAGCTCCTCGATGTAGGACTGTGGGTTCTCTTTTGTCCAAATTCTACAGTTATGGGTGTTAATGGTTCTATGCAATGGAAAATGAGACTTATCTGTCCACAAGATATTAAGATGATATTGTGCATTATCATCAATTTCCAATAAAGCTCAGTTTGTGAATCAATATTGCTTAGCTTTGTCATTTGATAAGAGCTGGTGGACTGATTCCAACTTAAAGGGTACAATTTTAAAACACTTTGAAGGATTTGGATTATTGAAGACTTTGGCATACTAATTCTTTTGCTGTACTTACTGCAGTTATTGATTGTTTCCTTAGAGTGTCAGTTTGCAAAGACACATGGAAGTATGGACCTCTGATAAACTTGGTGCACCACTATGAAGGTGATGACATAAACTTCCCATTTCATCAAAATGTCATACCAGTCTGACAAGAGTGATTGGAGTTTTCTTCCATTTCTTCTGTGTCCGAAACCTTTGTAAAGTTTCAGTTGGCAATTGTGGCTGAGGCAAAACAACTTCACTAATAATGCTTTATCCAATAATGTCAGCATCGAAATTAAAACGTTACATATAAACATGTAGGAGGAAGTTAGAAATGAGCTGTTAATTACTACATGCATTATTTTTTTTAGTGTATAAAGTTATGATTAAAAAACATTATTAGTACTATTAACTATAACTTTTTAGCAAGGTTGCTGCAATGTTCCTACCTACTACTATTCTTTCAAATCTCTTTGCAGCATTATGCGCAAAAGTTTTTGAGACCAGATAGGTCTTTCATCTAATTACCAGTTCGCTTTACATTTTCTTTTTTAATTAATATTGAATATAAAAATATACAGTTACAGTTAATTTGATTCTACACAGGGGCATGAATTTACTTCTTTGCCACAGGACAAAAATATATTGACATGGCTTTACTTGGACCTTTCATATTTGATAAATTTGATGAATGATTTAATTTCTGCACAAACCAGGTTTTATTAATTTGAAACAAGAAAATTTTTAAATGACTAAGACTACATACCCAAATATTCTAGCAAGCACTGAACCAAATTTTGACAACATTCTGGAATTTCCTATTTTCTTCTTTCTACTCTGCATTTTGTATCTTTACAGAATTATGCTTCTGTTATTTAAAAGATAACATGGCTAAAAATTAACATCCATTATTCCAATTTCTGGACACATGTGTAATTTAAAATTTTTTCCTATACATTAATTTTATTTTTGAAAAACAGGACATGCGATAATCCCACATAATACTTTAGTGATTACATAAATAGAATAACTGTTAAGAAATTTTGGAACAAAACACACAGAAATTTAAAAAGAAAATAATTAAATAAAGATAATATGATAGCTAATTAGTTGGTTAAACAATCCATGTAAATAAAAAAGGAAGTAGAGATAATTTTCACATTTGATTAATAAATTCATCCCCCAAAAGAAATAACTATTTTAAGAGAACGTCATCCAAAAAAAGAAGGGGAAATTCAGAAGCATCTGAAAGATGTATATATCAAAACACACACAACTTTATGAAGTACACTGTGGTAATAATTAAAACAGTGCTGTTTACAGCCTTAAGTACAATACAGTGATCTACATACTGCAGAACTTTGCAGGTTTACATTATGCATTATCATATGTGGCAGCTGAAGAGAGAGGAACTAATTCTAAAATCTAGTATGATAGATACTGCATAATGTATAAAGTGAATTCTTTTTAAGAAAGAAAAATGTGATAAAAATGAGTGTATATATATGTTTTTAATTATTTAAAATATGTATCCTTTCTTTGCACATTTCAATGTTCTGTTTTTCTCCACATGCCCCATTTTTTGTCCTTTCGCATTTACACATTCTACTGCAGAAAGCAGCTGTTTGAGACTACCACTTTACCCATGTTGTTTTTCAATTTCACCAGAGTATCAGGAGATCTTAACAAATCCTGTCTCTCATAAAGCAACCTCCATGTCACTATTCACAAAGGATTATATCAGATGAAAATGGCTATCTATACAGTGAAAAATGTACAATGAAAATATGGTTTGATTTGTTTAATTCCAGCAAAGCCTCGAGGGCTATCTGCCTAAGAGGAGGAATGCTTTCTTGGAGGACTTTCTAAGAGTAACTGGCTCATATATATGTTACACATGGGAAAAACCACAAAAATGCCCATGCAGCCAGTCCGTTCATGGGATTTGAATCTCGGACAGAACTACCAGCGTTCAGCAACTTAACCACTAGGCCGCACAATGAAAATAAATGGCTATTTTTGAATCTACATATAGATGCTGCAATAGCTGTAAAATAAAACTGTTGATAATGTTTTGAAACCACTCAACAGTAACTCAGCGAGCTCAGACAACTTGCTAATATTCTCAAAAAAGTTTACCCAGTGATAAAGAATTATCAAATTCCCTTATGTGCATTCTTCGTGGTATATGTGATTAGCAGATCCAATCAGCAATCAGAAGATGCATAGTTTAAATACTGGAAAAGTGGTCCTAGAGTAGTTTTCATGCTACATTAAACACAAAAGAAATGTTTAATGCTCCCTAGAGTAGCATGAAAACTAAAATGAGGTACATAATAATACATCATCACCTTGATTTGATTAACTGGGTTTCCTATATTCCTTGCACAAAAAAAAAAAAAAAAAAAAAAAAAGGACAGTTCTATATGTACTGTTCTACTGGGATGATTGTCAAAATTGCATTTTTCATGTCTGGATATATATAGCATTGCTTTTAACATAGGTATTTTGACACAAAATTGGACTTTTTCTGACATAATGCATAATACGTTCCAAAAAGAATCTGTAGTATGGATTACAAGATGATATTCCACAAAGCCATAAATGAGATACCTTAATTGTGATGATTCTGTACATATAAAGAAATAAGTAAATTAATTTTCCCAACCTTGTTAATGAAAGCTCGGAGAGCAGCAAATAAATGCTTGAACATTTTCTCAGACTGTCCAACTTGTAAAAAAGATACATAAATATCAAATATCTTTTTCATGAGAAGATTATCCCCTTCTCGATATAGCAACTGTTCTTTCATATGCAATGAGTAAAGACCTAAGACATCAAGTGCTATCAATCCAACTTCGGTCGCCATATTTGCTTCAAGCAAGGCCCGATAAAATGTATCAGCTTCTGATGAGGATAAGGGAGCTAAAAAAAAAGTGAAGGTAAAAAGGCATTAATAAACTAAACATAGTATACAGGTTACAATGACTGTCAAAACAGATTATTTCATCACAGAAAAGCAATTATGATTAATCTTCAGCATTTATAATTAAAAACACAGTGTGAAACAAAAATATTATAAAACAAAAAATATCTGATGTGGACACCACAAGACTTCCTTGTACAGATTATTAAATTATATAAACTTTTTGCTGCACATCATTTAAACTTATTTCCTTGAATTTCATTAGAGATATATTTTACAGTCAATCAATTCAGTTCTCAGTTCACCACAAGGCAGAAATACATGAAAGCTCAGTCTTCATTAAACTGTAGAAAACAGAAAAACCTAAAACACCACATATGAGTTCTAAAAAAAATTACAATTAAAATTACAGTTTCTATGCAAAAACAAGCAATTCTGTCAGCAGGCAGGAAGACAAAATTGTTCGTGCTTGATCACATTGTGTAAAAAGATACTGAAATTGATGCACCAACTAACATCATTCACTAGTCTACTAAGAGTTTCAAAATGTAAACAAAAAATGGCCTCATTAACGTTGATAATTCTATAACAATCGCATGCAGATTAACTAAAGGCACAAAATCCTTAACTGGAATATAAGAACAGTATAATTCAATCACTTTTTAAGCAAAAACTGCACAATTTACCAACATATTAAAAAAAAAAAAAAAACTGAGCTCACCAAGACGGGTAACAAAGTGGCAGTATACTGCCTATATATACACATTTGGGTGCAACCAATTGCAAAGAAAAAGGGAGGTTCACAACTACATGTATAGAAGTCCCATATACAAAATTTCAACATTCTACGGTTATTCATTTTTTGAGTTATGCAAGATACATACATACGTACGTACATAGAGATGTCGTGAACAAATTTCTTCTGACTCCACTTTTAAGTCCATTTTAATATCCATTTTGGAAAAAAGAATCCTTATTCTGTCCGTATGTATAGATGTCAAGCAAAAACATCATTCAAATGGATTCAAGAGTGGTCAAAACAGATATTTTTGTTGAAATGCGATATGCGAAATTTTTTGCGATCACAATACTTCTTTTACTTCATATTAGGAAGTAATAAATTTAAAACTAAAAATGCAAATAATAAAATCATTATTTATGAGTTAAGCTATAAATTATTATAAAAGTCTTAATTTTTTGTTAATACCAATATATTTTATAATTTTTCTTTAGCTGAGATAATCTGAAAAATATGGACACTGAGTAAGGTTTTCAATCAATGTCCAATGGTATAGTTATTTGATTTAATTATTACAGATTAACACATGACATACATAAATTAAGCAACTGATGCATCCTGCAATGGATGCTTACTAGAATTTTTGCAAATTAAGCAATTGATGCATGCTGGAATTTTGGCTTTAAAAGTGTAATATTGTTTAAAGTTAATGTGATATCAAAGAGTTAACAGCATTCATTAGTTATGACTCAAAGGCATCATTTAAGGGAAAAAGAGAAATGGCAGTTAAAAAGGCAGATTCCAGGAGGGGAAGAAAACACAATGGAGATCCCCCAATCTCATGTCCTTTAAAAAATAGCGGAACAACTTTCTAAGCAGTGGATCAGTAGACATCCTGATCAAAGGAAGCCAAGGGCAACAACTGCATCAGAAGACCCTTTTCTATCATTGACAGCCTGAAAAAAACTACAAAGTGACTACCAAAAAGCTGATTTTAGAACTTCAGATTGCCACAAGAACTTAAATCAGCCATTCTGCTTCTGCGTAAATCTTCATGTGGTTGAATTAAATGCAAGAAAACCATTGGTTTATGTCCTACCCTGAACAGTGACTCCAGATGTGTTTTGATCTGGAGGGAGTGAGGAACATGCAACTTGCCTTCCTTAATGGTTCTTCAGAAGTAGCTTCATGGTTATCCAAAATGGCTTTCTGAGCTGCTTATCTATGACAGAGGTTCTGTAATTAGTCACAGGTATGTAGATGAAATCTTGGAGCCCCATGTAAGGCTGTTTAGGGTTGCTGTTAGTTCAGAATTTTTGTTAATGGATGATAATGATCATATACACAGAGAATCTTATACCAAAATGCTTCGAAACAGAAGATATCACTCAAATGGGCTGGCTAGCTTATTCATGAGACTTGAACCCAATTAAGCATGTGTGATATGTCTTAGCCAGGAGTTGGTAATCTTTTTTTTTTTTTTTTTTTTTTTTTTTTTTTACCAAATCATAAAATTTTAGGCTTGGCAGGTAAACAAAAGAAAACCAAAAAAGTTTCAAAGTTTTTTTTTAGATTATATTTACATATTTATACACATTTTTCTGATGTATGCACACACACAGAGAGAGAGAGAGAGGATATTTCTATTTATTCATAAACTTGTTACAGAATAAGTTAAATTTTGTACTGACGAGATAAATGTAATTACTTTCTCTGAGATACTAATTCATTATACTGGAGTTAAAAGTCAATATTTCCTATCATTAAAGTTTTTTGCAAATGGTCATCTGTTAATAATATCTGTATTGTAACTTTACATAATTCTTTTTTGAAAATGTCTTTTCACATTAATAAGTACTCCTAAATATAGATATAAATTCCCATAAATATGATTTTAATTGGCTGCATGTATCTTTGGAAAGGTATTTATAGAATTGGGTTAAATCAATTTCTTTAAACATTAAGCATATCACTTTTTTCAGATCAATCACTTCTAACTACTGGTCTGAAAAAAGCTTTCAGTTGTACAGTCAAATGGACTTTAAAGTATGGAAATGTCTTTTGCACTTGCTTCAAGATCCAAAACATTACTGTAACTGTAGTTTAAGCTCAGAAAATAAATTTCCTGTGAATTTTTGAGGGAATGAAGATTTTGCTAATATTTGAAATTTTTTACAGCATGGAAAATTATTTAAACTTCTTTAATGTGATTTGTGTTTCAAACAATGCAAGTTTTTAGCAATATGGCTTTATGCACTGTTTATTCCTATAATTTTAAATTGAATTCATTAAGATATCCCATGATGTACATAGCAAGTGCTAATTTCCAAAGTCACAGGCTGCTTACAAAAGTAGTTGTATAGCAGTCTGGGCAGCTGTTCTCCTAAAAAAAATATTCTATGACTTCTATGAGTTAAGAAAATCTCATTCAAAACTTTCCATCACCAAGCCATCAAACTTCTGCATGGCAGAACAAGTCAAGACATTCAGCTTTGGTTTCTAATAAAAAATCACAAAACTCACAATGGTTATGTTCACGATGGTTTGAGTAAGTAAAGTTAACTGTGGGCACTACTGGTTCAGTAACATATGACAGATTGAAATGTTTCCTGCAAACAGCTTGCTTATGAATTTCATAATAAATTACCAGAGATTTTAAGAATTTAGTTTCTTTATAAGCCTTAAAAATTTGTCCACCTAATCCCCTATATGTTCCACACATATTTTTACCACCATTAGTTAAGACTTATTTTAACTGATTCCATTGCAAGTGGTACTGTGTTAACAATGTCTTGCCGATGTTAATGATAGCTTCACCTGCAGTTTTCCATAAAGGTTATTCATAGACACTTATTCTTCAGTCACCTCATTCTCAGTACTGATCTTGAAAATAAATTGCAGCAATTGGGCACTATCAATAATGTCTGTCAACTCATCAACAGACAATGAAAACCACTTCAATTCCCCCCCTCCTTGTCTTTTGAATGACTCTTGATGTGGCTTCCAAAGTCCTAATACTTGTTTTCACAGGAGGACTGACAAATGAAAACAAACTAATTCACCATTGGTAAATGCTTTCTTTTTCAGCTAATAAATGAGCTTTTTATAAGCTGACTTTAGCCACTGCTTCATTATCAGTTTTTACTCTTATGAAAAAATTGCATTGTCATGAATCATTCAATGTTAAACTTTCCAATTTTAGCAATCAATGAAGTGACTTTGGAATATTTTGCTGCCTGCTTATTTTAGCAAACAACTTCTGAGCTCAATTATGCATTAGGGTGCATATTTTTTACTCAAAATTTTTCACGTAAAAAACAATATTAAGCCAATTAAAATATTAAACAATATTAAGATTAACACAGACTGCAGGCCAGATTTGGTCCATGAGCCGCAGCTTGTTGACGCCCATCAGTTGTGCCTCCATGATTCCTCCAAGATTTGAAAATTGCATTTTCAGAGGAGTAGTGTGCACTTCCATAAATTATCATCAGCAGTTTGGCAAAATTTATGAAATCAGGACATGAAATTTGCATTCCTGTGAGAGTTGAGCATGTACACTGCTAAAAAAAAAAATGGGACGGTGCTATATCTCCCGTTCCACTGGGCCGATTGACAAAATTCAAATTGCGTTCTTCATGTCTCGAAAGTGCGACTTAGGATATATATTAGATTTATATATAGCACTATTCTAACATAGGTATTTTGACACAAAATCGGACTTTTCCTGAAATAACATACCATTTTTTTTACATATTTCGATTCTACAGCTCAAATTACGCCTAAATATGAAATTTTGTAAAATTTGGAGCGAAATTTACGGAGAAATTCACAAATTTATGTTGGCACTTTTTTTTCAGTTTGCGCCATGGATAGTTCACTTGGCGAACTTCTTAATATATGGCAACCTAGTTTCCTTTCCCGTGAGAGGGAAAAAAGACACCGTCGTTCCTTTTTTCCATATAATATTCTTTATATTATATTTTTAATTATAACTGTTATTATTTTAAGTAATTTTTTCTTTTTCGAATTTCATTTTAATTGTTTCAGTTGCATGGTTTTTTTCGAAAAACTGTTTAAAAATTTCTATTTACCTATTCGAACTGCGTAAATAAAGATGCAGCGTTTATTTCTTTCAAATAGTTTTCTTTATATATATTTTTTGTCATAGTTATTATTTTAGGTAATTTTTAAATTTTTACACTTTTATTTTAATTGTTTGTGTTGCAATGTCTCTTCAGATAATTGTTTTAAAATTTTCTATTTATTCC